CAAAGTTAGTAAGAGTAGAGGGTGCTTGCAGTGGGGAGCATTGGATGGTGCATATTAAAATGGTCTTGCCTTGAAGTGCATTTTTTGGTGCCAAGTTCTCCCCATCCACATTCGTTCCTCCACATCCCTTTGCTGCGGCCCTTGCCCTTATGATGCGCCATTGCTTGTACAGCACCAGCCCAGCAGCAGCAGTGCGAGGATAGCCACACTGCCACCAGCAGCAATGCCAGCTATGGCTTCTACTGAAAGGCCTCCTCCAGACTCGGAGGAAGCGGCAGGAGCTGGGGTAAAGGGTGGTGGAAAAGGTATGGCATGACAGGAAAGGGGTAGGCGACAGAAAGCATCACACAAGATAGATGAAGAAGTGCCGCTAAGAGTAAGCAAAAAAGTGTTTTTTAGGAGGTGGCTACGAATTAGTACTGTCAAGAGAAAGCAATGAAATAGCTGTGGTGTGGATCGGTCCAGTTAAGACTCATGCGCACGAGGAGTGGTTGACTACAAACGGTTCTTGCCTTTCGATCGCGCTTTCCCCAGGCGTGGAGGAACACGTGGGGAACACGATCGGGCTTCCCCACGAGGTACAGGAGAGCTAAGTGACCGAATACGCGTTTAGCGGTTCAAACGCTAGCGTGGGCTGGGTCAAACGCGTGGGCAAGTGACAAAAGGTACTAGAAGGGCAAAGAAATGGGCTGCTGGATTGCTTGGGGGGGTCGACATTGCTGCAGCTGAAATCCCAAGGTACTAACATAAGCGCTAGCGCTAGGAAGGTTTAAGTGGTGGAGTAAAGAGTGTGCTAGAGTAGCACGACATACAAATTAGGGCTGCGAAGGAAGGAGTACATAAGAGAGGATTACGATATCTGTCTCTATGTAGAGGACTTGGAGGGGGTAGGTTGGACGCTGAATCGGGGCCTGAATGTCGACTTTGCGATGTGGCGACGAATCTGATTAAAATTGCCAAATCGCAAGGTGTCGCAAAAAGTCATCGCCTTTGTTTTCGGGGGGGCAGCCCAGCAACAATCGGCTGAGCGTATTGCGTTTTGGGGAGCATACTGCGTTTTGCGTTCGAACGCAAAACACTTGCCAGCAAAAGCACATTCGGTCACTTAGCACAAGATGGAGGAGGGGAGTGAAAGGGAAGGTGGGGAGGGGGGACGGGGGGGGGGGGGGGGAGTGGGGGGAGGGGAGGGAAGGGACGTGAGTGGTGACACAAGAAAACTGGAAGACGCAAAGCATTCGTCATGAGAACGATCATGTCTCACGTATGTAGACTAGGAGATGGATCGTGTCTCACGTATGTAGACTAGGAGAGGGATCGTGTCTCACGTATGTAGACTAGGAGAGGGATCGTGTCTCACGTATGTAGACTAGGAGAGGGATCGTGTCTCACGTATGTAGACTAGGAGAGGGATCGTGTCTCACGTATGTAGACTAGGAGAGGGATCGTGTCTCACGTATGTAGACTAGGAGAGGGATCGTGTCTCACGTGGTGCTGGCCCAGCACATGTGGAGCAGAAGGAGAAGCATCTCCGGCAGAAAGCGCTTGAAGGTGTCTGCGGAACCACACAGCTGCTGTTGTCAGGTGGGCATGTGATTGCAGTTCCAGATATGCCCCTGGATGTGCACAAGGAATGTCACTCACACTGTTTAAAGAATAGGACCAAGGTTTTATCCTCTTAGTGAATCTAATCACATGACAACTGCATCGTGGGGTTGCCATTGAATGAGGCTAGAGTGGAAAAATAAGGTCTTGGTCTCGCATACCCCTAGATTTATACATTTTTCTATATCCTATATACAGGACAGTTTGTCGTACAGGTCTACAAGACTGGTAAGGCTGCCCATTGTTGGAGGGAGCTGGCCAGTGAGATTGGTTTCGCTGACATCACTGCAATGGCATGCAGACACACACACACACACACACACACACACACACACACACACACACAACACACACACACGAGCACACACAAAAGTAGCACTGAAGCGCATTATGACTTTTGCACTCATGTTTCCCCGTGTCAAGGTTTTACGAGTACTTGGCTCCATTGATATATTTATTCCCCTCGAAGATATCTCTTAACGATTTTGTGACAGATTCATCACAATCTTATCGCAAGGTCACATGGCACATGGCTATATGTATCATACGTTAAAAAGGGGAGAAAAGGGCCTACAGCACTAAACATACGAGCTTCGTTGATTGAGTCTGGAATGCTGCCACTTATTTTTTTCTTGTCAAGTAACCCGATGGGCGAAGGCACAGAACGAGGCAGTATTGCAAAACAAGGCTTTCCATGTTAAACAAGCGAAGACGATAAAACTGGCCGTACACTTTGGAACTTACGTTAGCTAAAGGGTATCGGGGTGATGGAGGACTCAGTTGGGTATCGGGAATCTCCTCTTCTTGATTAGCTTTATGTAACAATGATGCTTTTTAGCACATACAATGTTCTCAAGTTGATGAGGCTCGCAAAGGACTGTGGGATGTCCTGCGAGATTAAGTTCGAGCTTAGACTCCTGCAACCATTAATAGCAGCAGCAAATCAAGGATGTGAAAGGGTTAATAGCAGCAGTGCATTCAAAAGATGTAGTTGCCAGGCCTTTCTTGTTTTACTTCTCACGAATTGCCTTTCCACTCAAGCTGGCAAAGGAGCAAACAGACGGTTGACCAGAGAGTGGTAAAGAGCAACTTCATGCTTCAGTTAACATACGAACTAGTTCCATTCAATCCAAACATGCAAGCTCAATTGCGTTCCTAGAGTACTGCTAGGTTGACAAAAACGCATTTGCAAGTTTGCGTTTTGAGTTTAAACGCAAACGTTTTAACGCAATACTCAAAAACGCATCAAAACGCTCGAACGCACCGCGGAATTTTACCGGGCTGACCGAAGCAAAAAACGCAAAAAAAAAACGCGCGATATCAGAAATCGAAATTGCATTTCGCCGCGCGTCGCGAATCGACAGCACATTTCGCGCGTTGCACATTCGCGAAAATTTTCACAGCGACACATAAACTTGTCAGTCTCTCCCTCCCTTTTCCCAACGTGTTTGAATTCCCAACCCATTCCCCTTACTAGATCCAGATCTATATGTAGAGGAGAACTTGGCTCACCTTCCATGCACAGCCACGATCTACTCCTACCCTTACGTTTTAGATTCCAGCAGCTAACCTATCCGATTTCCAGCCTCTAACATGGCGTCCTCCTCATCGCCAGTACATGCTCCTCAATCGGATGAGGGCGAGGGTTCCACCGGTGTCACCACGTTCGTCGAACAGCCCGACCATGCGATATTCAAGCACTTTAGGACGGGTGTGGCAGCGGACGGTAAGCTGACAGAGTCGCGAAAGTGTCACTACTGTCCCGCGACATTCGTTGGTGGCACGACGCGCGCCGCACAGCATTTGACGGAGTGGAACGGGATGAAGCGTCGTGGCGTCCACCTCTGCCCCGCCGTTCCTAAGAAAGCTCGTGACGAGGTCAAGGCGCATCAGGAGCGAAACAATGAGTCGAGGGACTGCAGGCGTCGTGCAGAGTCCTTGGCGCTGCAAGCTGTCGGCGGCGACGGGATGAGAGGCCGCATGACCGATTTTTTCGGTGATGAGCCCACGTGCAATCGGAAAGCTGCGGATGAGGCGATATGCCTCATGTTCGCGGCTCTTCGTCTGCCAGAGCACATCGCGGACAACCCCATCTTCACCAACGCCATCTCCTGCATTGGTCGTGCAGGCGCTTCCTATGTTGCCCCCAAGCGGCGGTACATAGGAGGTGCGGGGCTGCAGACATGCCGCACGCGTGTGGAGACAGCGCTTGGCCCCATCGCCGCCAGCTGGGAGAGGGATGGCGTAACCCTAGCCAGCGACATGATGACTGATGTGAACGGGAGGCCGCAGGCAAACATACTTCTCATCAACGACAGTGGGCAGTGTTTGTGGAGTCGATCGATACGAACATGGAGTTCAAAACGGGCGGGTACATCGCGAGCATCCTCCGCCCGATCGTGCAGCGCGTGGGCCCGGAAAACATCGTTGCGTTCTGCACCGACGGCGGCAGCAATTACGGCGCGGCGTGCAGGGAGTTGATGGCAGAATTTCCCCACATTGAGAAGGTCCCGTGCGCCACGCATGTTTTGGACCTCCTCATGGAGGACATTGGGAAGATGGCGTGGGCGCGGGCAGTGGTGGAGAAGGCAGATTACATCATCGCCTTCGTCCGCAAACATCAGTTCACGCGGAACTTCATGCGCAACTGCAAGGTGGATGGGGGAAAGACGAAACAAGTTTTGCGGCCGGCCGGTACTCGCTTCGGGACCACCTACATAGCGGTGGGGCGCTTGACTGAGGTGCGGCGGGCCTTGACGCAACTCGTCCTGAGCAACGAGTGGAAGGATTTTGCTGCTGCAGGGGCGAGGAGGGCAGCGGCAGAGGTGTTTAGCACGGCGGTCATGGATGGTGAGTGGTGGAATGTGGCTGAAGCTTTCACCCACCTCATGCAGCTGCCATTTATGGTGATGCGGGCCACGGATTCGTCGGCGAAGGGAATGATGGGTAAGATTTACGACCTCATGTTGCAACTCACTGTGGACATGGATGACATGCTCGACAAGCATGGGGAGGAGTTCCTGAACGAGGACGAGGCGGAAGAGATCCGGGGGTTGGTGAAGAAGAGGTGGGATCAAGACTTGGTTTGCCCCTTGCACGTGGTTGGCCGGATGCTCAATCCGGCCAACCAAACAGAGGGAATCTTCCGCAAGGATAAGGAGTGCACCACTGTTTTGAAAAAGTTCCTCTCCACCCACTTCGACCGGCGCATGGTCACCCTCCCGAATGGGAGGACGGTGAAGGAATCAGTGGTGCTTCAGGACGGCCTCACCGACTTCTTCACCATGCGCGGCAGCTTTGGCCTTGCCGAGGCAATCGCTGACCGTGAGTTGGTGAAGGCGGGAGAGATGGACATGGTGCGGTGGTGGACTTGGCATGGCACCGACCATCCCGCCCTCACCGCCCTCGCTTGCCGTGTCCTCACACAGGCCGTCTCTGCAGCCGCATGCGAGCGCAATTGGGCGGTGTGGGACTCAGTCCACACCGCCAAGCGCAACCGCTTGGGGTCGGAGAAGTGCCGGGATTTGGTGTACGTGGCCCACAACTGGCATGTGGTCCACAACTGGTACAAGAAGGAGGAGGGGCTTGGGGTTGTTGCTGGGAACATCCCCGAGCCCCCATGCCGGAGGGATACAATGTGCTCGAGGAGGAGGCGGAGGAGGGGGAAGATGATGTGCTTGAGGATGAGTATGAGTAGGATAGATGTACAAGGTCGGATGGAGGAGGCATAGATGATGGAGAGAAGATAGGTAGTCAGGAGATGTGGCGGCGGAGGGGGAAGATAATGTGATGGAGGATGAGAATGAGTAGGGGAGATGTAGAAGGTCGGATGGAAGAGGCATAGATGATGGAGAGGAGATAGGTAGTCGAGAGATGTGGCTGTGAATGTGTGTCCTTAGCGTGATGTTAATGTGAAAAGATAATTTCTGCTGTCCCCTCCTCACCCCTCTCCTCCCCCTCCCCCCACTCCCCCTATATCCCTGCCCGGGCAAAAATTTCCGCCTGCCCGGGCAGGCGTTTTCCAAGCGTATTTGAAGCCTGAAATCCTACGTTTTGCGTCCTGAACGCAAGCGTTCCAAACGAAACGCAAAAACGCGGAAACGCGTTTATGCCAACATAGGAGTACTGACAGGTAAGTGAGGCTGCGCATGTTACCGATGGTAGATGGAATAGACCCAGTCAAAGCGTTTTCTCTGAGATTCCTGGTGGTGCATGCAAAGGAGTTTATTGGTTCATATTCAGTGAGGAGGGGGAGGAGTGGATAGAACGAAGGGGGGGGATGAAAAGGGCATGACGTAGTGAAATGGTTGCCTTCTTTTAAAAGCTAGAGAGACGCACAAAAACACACGTTACTTTTGACCCTATGAGAAACGACATTCTTCTTCAGCAAAAAGCAAGCAGCAGTGCCAGTGCGCCACTCAAGCTGGACGTGCAAGTTCAGTTGGATTTCGTGATACTGACAGGTAACTGAGGCTGCTCATGTTGCTGATGGTAGATTCAATAGACCCAGTCAAGCCATTGTTGGCCAGATCCCTAATGGTGTGTGCAGAGCAGGGGTTCCATGGGTTACTTCATTGAAGAAAAGGAACGGGGAGGATTCATTGGAAAGGAGGAGATGAAAAAGGGCATTACAGAGTGACACAGTTGCTTGCCCTTTTGGTGAAGCTGGGTGAAAATTGTGTAGAAGGACCGCACAGAAAACATGCGTTGGTTGGTTACTTCTCAACCCAGTGAGGGACAGCCTTTTGTTTTCAGTGAAAAGCATGTAGCAGTGCCACTAAAGCCAATCATGCAGGTTCAGTTGTGTTCCCATCGCATGAATACTGACCGTTGGGCAATTATACTGACAGAAATGAGAGGCTGCTCATGCTGCTGGTTGCAGATGGAATAGAATTAGTCAACAAATTGCTTCTAAGATCCCCTGATGGTGCATGCAGAAAAAAAATCAACAGGTTAATTGACGGAGAATGAGGGGGAGGAGTGGATGACGGGAGAGATGACAAGGCCATGGCATAGTAGTGACGTTGTGGCCTTTACAGTGAAGGTGACAGAATAATGCACGGAAAACATGCTAAGTTTCTCTACCCAACCCCAGTGAGGGAAAAACCTTTTGCCCCATTAAAAAGCACTAAACAGTTTTACTCAAATCAGACACGGAAGCTCAGTTTGGTGTTTCCGATGGCACTGACAGGTAGGTGAGGCTGCTCATGTTGCCAATGGTAGATGGAATAGATCCAATCAGGGCATTGTAACCCAGATCCCTGATGGTGCATTCAAACCATCCATGGGTAAAATTGAAATGAAGAAGGGACGGGGGAGAGGGGTAAAAAATGAGATGGCAATGGCATATAGGTGCCTTCCGAGTTGCCTTTTGCTTCGGGGAAACAAACCCAAACAAGGAAGTTCAGTTGTGTTCCCACGGTAGAAACAGAAACGTGAGGCTCCTCATTCCTCCTAAAAACAGGACAGTAGACAGCAAAGGACACAAAGACACAAGGGGAAGGTGGGACAATGATGTTAGAGATAGGCTGCTCCATCCAAAATGAGTGGATTGGATGTTTCACAAATTCTCAACCTTGTGATCGCTTAAAATCCCCAACCCACCCCGATTTTAAGGTGGTCGCATTTCGAAGGACTCGTCAGAAATCTCCACTCCACCACCTGGGTATTTTATTTTGGGAGATTCCGTTGGCATTGGGGGGGGTTCATCCCTGTTCTATCTCTCCATCCCTCCCTTCCAACATGCTTTTCTATTCAGACCCAATTGTCTACATAGGCGATGAGGAGACAAGGAAACAAGGAGACAAGTAACGAGTAATTTCTTGCAAGAGGCACGTGAACAACTTACAACAACTGCATTAGAAGTCAAATTTAAAGAGACAGGTTTGGTCGACCTATGCGTGCATGGAGTCATACTCAAACCGGATAAGCTGTTGCTCATACGCACAGGTAAGTCAGGCCAACCATGCTGCCGATAGTAGATGGGATGTACCCGTCTAATCCTTGAGAATGTAGACCCTGAAGGGGCGTGAGTTGATTACGTTAGACAAGGCGGGTAACGGAGGAGAGAAAGGGGAGAAGGATGTTGGAAACACGTGCAGGGTAAAGAGTCACACTCGGTTGGTGCCCTCACACGCCAAGCAGGAGAGAAGTCGAGAAAGAGAGGGATTCTGAAGGGGGTCAAATGGGGTTGGTGCACTCATGTTCCAAGGAAGGATTCGAGCACTCACATGCTGCTCGTCACCATGCCCTGCACATTCACATGCTGGTGACTATGCCCGGGGGCACTCACATGCTGGTGACTATGCCCGGGGGGCACTCACATGCTGGTGATCATTCCCTGGCTGTCGCATGTCACATGCGCGGCAGTGCTGCAGTTCCCCCCAGCCACCCCACCCGGCGAAAGTCCGCCCCACGCCCGCTTGGAATTCCAGGAGGACTTGCACTGGAGGCAGAGGGGAGGGGGCGAGGTGCAATGGACCAAACGAACCAGCAGAGGAGGGAAGGGAGCGACAGGAGGAAGAGCGAGGGAGTGAGGGAGAATGAAGGATGAACCAGGGAAGGGGAGATATGAGCCAAATGGCTCCTCATCAAGTCTCAACGTAACTCTCCCAGCAGCTCCAATCTACCCTCCATCAGTCCTGCTGTGGAGGCGAAACAGGATGGTAAATTGGGTAACACTTTAAGTAGTACTACGATCATGAAAGCAACCGCTAGTAACCTCACTAAAGCGGCTCAACAACCAGACGAACCCCATGCTGGAGAGTAACGTGCTATGGGGGTTGAGGCTTCAGGTTTGCACTATAAAGGGTCCGACCAAGCCCCACTTGCGTGAAATCGGGTCATATCCTAAGCATTTCCGAAAACACAAGGTACTTGACTCGCATTTCTTGCTGGGTCTTGCAGGACGTTCCGCGGCAGTGGTATTTATTTACATAGGAAGCATACAGCTTGGAACTTGACAGGGCTTTGAGGCACGACACGCTGAACAGGCGGCGGCACCTGCGCGGACGCACCTTGGGAGGCGGCGTAAAGGGACGCGGCTGCGGACGGGGGGAAACCGCGGCAAGACACGTCAGCATGAACAGCGCGCCGAGCCCGCGCCGGCTTCCGGCGCCGTCCGCGCCGCCGATAGGGCGTCGCATGGCGAGCGTCCTTCCGCAGCGGGGTATGGAAGCCAGCCTTGATTCCTTGTACGGATCTGTCACTCAGTGACGGCGCCGGCGGGCGGGCCTGCCGCCGGGTGTGCTAAACTAATGCAGTGACGACTGAGGCTACGAAAGGCGGCGTGAGTCTGGTCGGCGGTGGTTCGCGGTTACGAAGTCCGGGCGATTACTATCTCTGGCTGCGGGCGCGCAGGAGATAAGGCGACGGGTAGAGACGTCGACGCGAGAAAGCCGAGGATCGCGGAGGGAAGCTCTCGCACTTGAGAAATGTGGAGTGGGATGGTAGGAAGGAGGTCCGTTATTGAGCCAAAAACGATGTCATGCGAGGGTGAACTCGCAGGTGACACCAGCAACGTTGCGAAATGCCTTGGCGACGGCGAATCTGTTTACGATCTCCATATCAACCAGGTGGAAAATCTACGGTGACGTTGATTTGATGGATTTTATTTATTTTTTTTGGGCTTTAAGGAGATCCAGGAGGAAACCAGGCCCCTTTTCCCACGCCGATCCACCTGCGAGCCCTCAGGGGAGACCCCCTAGCGCCCGAGGCTGGCTTATGGTAGCAATTTTTCCAGGATTATGAATAGGAATAAACCATCTAGTGAATACTCTTGACTCCATTCGAGAAACGAACGAGGTACCTAAGTTGCGAAGCTTTGTCGTGTCAAATGGTTTTCTTTTTTTCTTTTTTGCAAGAACGGCCCCTTTCATCTAACAGGAAACAAGGGGTGAAGCAGGTTATGGAAATACAGGCAATCTCGTGCCAGTACTGGTCGATGAAAGGCAAGGTGTTGTGCAGCGGCAACCACAAGATAAGCAGCGAAGAAAGAGAATAATAGAAAGAATGGTACGCATCATGGTTTTCAACACGTACACCAAAATTGCGACACCACGAAGCACAACAACGACATAGCATACCACTACGAGCATCGGGATTAATACACAAAGTGTAAAGAGTGCTAGCAGTTGTGATAATTCATACTGAAGCATTTATGTAAGTAGTTCCGATAGATATTATCGAGTTACATTACATTGTAGTTAGCATCCGTCGAATGACGTTAGCAAATAGCGCGCGTCTGGATGATTGTGTCAGCAAGCCATTTCAGTCACGCGAACAGTCGCGCCCCTTTCAGCAGCGATTAGAGCGCATAGCGCAAATAGCGTTGAGCAGGTACACTACCGAACAGGTACTTCTAGTAGATATAAAAGTAGGCTCGTCTCTCTTCTATTATTAACTTGTTCTTCAGTAAATTCCGGACACCATTCTAAGACTTCCGTTGTCTTACTACCGTATTCCCCCGTATAAAACACCCGCCGGAATTAAGCTCCCCCAGGTAGCTTGAGCGGGTATGGGTGCTGATTTTTTCTTGATATACACAACACCCTACCCTCGGATGTGTAAGCATTTGAACACCCCCTGCCGCCTAGAATCTTATAATTTTTCAAGAAACACAAGAATTTGCGATGTGAAATTGTGTGCTGCCGTTATTTTTCCTTCTCCTGGTGTGCCAACGGTATCAATATCAGCGGGAGTGGGGAAAACGAGCTAGTTGCTACTGTGCCGCGGGTATTCTGGTAGAAGATCCGAATCTGCCTGTTGAAAATCCCCGAAAAAAACATGAAATCGAGCACGCCGAGCCGAAACAAACACCCGCTGCCTCCTATTGGTTGGGAAACCGGCACTCATAAGGACACAGGCCACGCCTGCTGCACACGCTGTCTGTTTGACTCTGCACGTTCACTGTCGATGTGGCATGCAACTGGGCCACATCGTCAGGTACGCGATGTGGTGAACAAAAGTCATCGTTTGACTCAAATGAACATGGTGAAACATGCACATTTGAATTCCAATTGGGAATGCCATATGCGTGTTCCATAGCTCCTAGTGTTAGAATAGTAGGATAAATTCAAACAAGGGTGAACAAGAGAGATATAGTGTTGGGATTGTACCCTCTAACAGCATAGACCAATCTAGCCTACAACTTCTACACAGCATTATATGTATAAGTTGACACACCCCCTAGGTTAGATAAGGGGTAGTGCTGAGCAAAAAACAAGCAGCTCAGGGTGGCACTACTAGTCCAACCTACAGTGACGGAAATAAATGGGCTTATTAATCCACTGCTGTACATAAACTTTGTGATTCTGGCATTATATGTTTGTCAAAACCCAACCACAACGAATCACATACTGTGCCTCTTGACCTGAGCTTCTCAATGCACTTGGGTGTTGTAACTTTTATCGATTTTATTGTAAGGAGTACAATAATAAGCGCTCGTTACTCGATGCGGACACTTTAGGCCAACTTCGAGTCCATATCTATTTCCTGCCTGCATTACGCATCCTCGCAACCAACGCTTCCTTTTTCGCTCGATAGTACAGCGGCACCTACGCCAAGCCCCCAGCGACGATGCGACCGCTTCTTTCGAGCCAGAAAGATAGGATCGCGACACTGCTTCGACAGGGCCAGAGTCTTCGTCAAATCGCTAAAGCATTAGGAATAGGGAAAAGCACGGTACAGAAATACGCACGCGAACCCTCCCAGCACACGAGCAGCCTAGCGGTCAGGCCGATTGTTCCTAGGAACGGCCGACCGTGCGTACTCTCGGTTCGTGACAGGCGCTCACTGGTGCGAGCCGTCACTTCTGGCCATGCGAAGAGTAGCATAGAAGCAGCGAAACTTCTAGAATCAGAGCGCGGCATCAAGATATGCCCTAGAACCGTGCGCAACGCCCTGAAGAACTCCGGTCTAGTAGCCGTACAGAAACCGAAGAAGCCGCGACTATCTGCCCGAAACATCAAAGACCGCCTCGACTTCGCCAAGGCGCACGTTGACTGGACCATTGAAGACTGGAAGCGGGTGATATGGTCCGACGAGACCAAAATCAACCGCTTGTCCAGTGATGGCCGCAAGTACGCATGGATTCGCGACGGGGCGGCCCTGCAAGGTCATCAGATTCAACAAACCGTCAAGCATGGGGGCGGGTCATTGATGGTATGGGGTGCATGACTTATGATGGCCCGGGGTATATGTGCAAGATTGACGGCCGCATGGATGGGGAGCTGTACAGGAGTATATTGCATGATGAGCTTGCTCAAACTATCGATTTCTATAGTCTAACCCCTGGGATGTCATTTTCCAGCATGACAACGACCCCAAGCACAAGAGCCGCCTTGTGCAAGCATGGCTAGCTGAGCAGCCGTATGCGGTCCTCAAGTGGCCCTCCTCCTCCCCTGATCTCAATCCCATAGAGCACCTGTGGGCACACCTCAAAAGGGAGCTCGCCAAGTATGAGCACCCCCCCACGGGGATGCTCCAGACTTGGGAGCGGGTGCAAGAGACATGGGATGGGATTGGGGCGGATGTGTGCAGGGGCCTCATCAACAGCATGCCTAGGAGGGTGAAGGCAGTGGTTAGGGCTAAGGGGAGGTGGACTAGGTACTGATTTTGAAATGTTGAACACTTTCTTCAAATCTGGCCAAAAGTGTCCGAATAGGACTTGCTGAATGTGGTTGTTGGTTTGCCATTATAAACATGCCTTTGAGGCTGTATGACATGTGCTCCTCTTGCTCAGGAGGCACTACACTAGTATATTAAATCCCCCTGTTTTTAAAACTCTGTATAAGAAATACACACGCTTTTTAACCTTTCAAAGGGTCAACATATGGACAGTTTCTTCCGTCACTGTATGAGGCAAGGGTTCGAAGACCAGTCAGCAAGAGTACAAACAAGACAAGAGCAAACCAGGGCGGCACTACTAGTCCGACCATTGGAAGAGCAGCCACAAGGCCAGTCTGGAAGGTATAAATATAGAGGAGTACACAATCAAGGTCCTAGCAAGTGAGAGTCTACAGGAACTAGACCAAGCTGTAAGCAGTGCCGTTGATGATCTTTAGGCGCAAGCGCCTTAGTAAAGATATCAGCTGTATTGGCACCGGAGGCCAAATGTACTATGCGAGCCTGGCGACGCTGCTGGAGCTCGCGCAGGAAGAAGTACCGCAGCTGGATGTGCTTCGCTCTGCCCTCAAGTCAAGGCTCCTGACACACGAGGATCATGGCCCTGTTGTAAGCATACAGGACCGGGGCAAAGCTAGGCCGCTCACCTAAGTCGATAAGCAAGAAGGTTAGCTAGCGGAGCTCCTGTGCCGCCATGGCACCGGTGTTGATCTCAGCCTCACAGCTAGACTAGGCAACAGACGAGGAGCGAGTGGACCTCCACGAGATGGCACCTGAACCAATGCTAAAGTAGTAGCCCCGGGAGGACCTGAGGGTCTCAGCGTCGTCTGCCCTACAAGCGTCTGTGTGCCCAGTAAGGACCACTTGCCTGCGTCCTCCCAAAACTAGCCCCATGCCTGATGTACTCGCAAGATAACGTAGACCCCTCTTAGCGGCCGACCAGTGCTGGGGTCCGTGTCTGCCTGTGGCCACAAAGCGAGCTAGGATGCTCAGAGGGTATGCGAGATCTAGACGAGTGCAAGTCATCACGTACATGAGGCAACCCACCAGCTCTGCGTAAGGACCACTGGGCTCTGCAGGCTCCTCAAGAACTGGAGCCGAGAGCCTGTGGTCTACTGGCAGAGGTTTGGGCTACACGGAGGAGAACTGAAGGCCGAACCTCTGAAGGACCTGGTGCACCAAGTGTGACTGTGTGAGGATGATGGTGCGCGCTGCTCTGTCATTGGAGATCTACAAGACAAGGTCGCGGCGCAGCTCTCCTTAGTCAGTGCAGGTGTGTCTTGGGGTCGCTGAGCGATGCATTATTTTGGTCATGGAGGTGGCTCGTACCTCCATGATCCATGCCGGTGCACCCCATTTTTTGTGGCCGTTCGCCGTTCGCTACGCTGCTCACCAGATGACTTGCACTCATCCAGGTCTTGCATACCCTCTCAGCATCCTGGCTCGCTTTGTCGCCCCAGACAGACACCGACCACAGCACTGGTCGGCAGCTAAGAGGGTTTTGCGTTATCTAGCAAGTACATCGAGCATGGGGCTCGTGCTAGGAGGACGGAGACCAGTGGTCCTGACCAGACACTCAGAGGCTTCTTGGGCAGACGACGCCGAGACACTCAGGTCCTCACAGGGCTACTCTTTTTGCCTTGGTGCAGGGTGCCATCTCGTCGAGGTCCACCCGCTCCTCGTCTGTTGCCCAGTCTAGCTGTGAGGTTGAGATCTACGCAGGTGCCATGGCGGCACAGGAGCTCCGCTGGCTGACCTTCTTGCTCACCGACTTGAGTGAGCGGCCTAGCTCTGCCCCAGTTCTGTACGCTTGCAGCAGGGCCATGACCCTCCTGTGTTTGGAGCCACGACTTGAGGGCAGAGCGAAGCACATCCAGCTGCGGTACTTCCTCCTGCGCGAGCTGCAGCAGCGTCGCCAGGCTCGTATATTACACTTCTTTACTAAGGCGCTTGCGCCTAAAGGTCATCACCGACACAGCGTACAGCTAGGTCTCGTTCCTGTAGCCTCTCACTTGCTAGTACCTTGATTGTGTATAGACCTTATATATATCTTACTCCGACTGGCCTTGTGGCCTCTTCCCAGTGGTTGGACTAGTAGTGCCACCCTGGTCTTGCTCTTGCCTTGTTTGTACTTGTTTGGCTGGTCTCTAGACCCTTGCCTCAGAGGCTGGATTAGTAGTGCCACCCTAAGCTATTTCTCTCCCATCAAGCACTGCCCCTATCCAATCTAGGGGGTGTGTCAAACATATATTGTATGTTACTGTAGACTATATAGGGTTGTGCCTTAGAGAGTACAACCCATTAGGCTATATACCCCTGTATGATTGGTTCTAGTCAACTTTTCTCACTTCAACAAAACAGTTCCTTTTATAAGACAATGTTCCATGTATAACGAAAAAGCCCTGTTTTTACACACTTGTAGACGAAACTCAACGAGCCTATGTTCTTCGCACGAGCTATCTCAGCATTGAAGTCCTCGCGGCCTGAGGTGTCAATTTCATTGTCAATACGAGATGCAACCCTGTTCACCTGTTCTCCCCAAACCTCCTCCCTCATCTTCACCAGCTCTACAGCACTTGGCTCATGGCGGGGCGGGAGGCACTGGGCATGGCAGTGCAGGAGAGGGCAACGCGGGCCAAGCGTACCACCAGATCATCCGGTGCGTCCAAATCAGGGTCCTTGAATGCTGTCACAGCACTGGATGCCACAAGTGGAGCCACCTGCAGGTTGGAAGGACATGGCGCAAGGAGGATATTTTCATCCTTTAACAGGAGAGTTCAATGAAGGTGGTTTTTTGTTACGAGGATAAAAAATATTGAAACCAAATGGGAGAAATCAATATTACAGTGTGAACTTGGGAGATCGGAACAAGACAAGAAAGCGAACCTGACTAAACAACTCTTCGTGCACTTGGCCTTAGCAGGCCGATTTCTACGCGTCTTCAATTACTCTCGTCACCAAGGGCGTGTCTGCAGCGAGATCGGAGCTCACCCAACAAGTTTGAAACTAAATCGTTCTAGAGGAACAGGCCTCACCAAATTCTCCTCTATTGCTATTGATCCCACTTGTTGCCCGACCTGTTGCTATTTGAGTCTCACCCATTGCTTTGAGGTTGATCTGGGTGTCCCCTGTCACATGAACCGCCTTGCGTGCCGTAATGACCACCAGCATCACCACTCCAAAGCTGCACATCCGAGCAACCAAGAAAGGAAACCCTTGATTGGAATGAGCAAGTCATGTGATGCACGAAGTGCCACTAACTTCAAACGAATAGAATGACAAGACAACTCTTGCACACTGCTAACCTGTGCACATCTGCTGCTGGTGTGGCCTTGTGAGACTTGTAGTATGCAGGGTCCACATAGCCTGGTGTGCCCATCACTCGAGTGGCGGCCACAGACGAGGTGCCCATAGCGGTGCCTCCACTCAGCTTGACAAGCCCAAAGTCCGCTATCTTGGCCTGCCCATCGTGCACAATCACAAAAGCACAATGAGGAACAATGAGGAGGAGTGTGAGTGTGCGATGCATGGCTGGTTGGTTTCAGCTAATCACCACATGGCAGTTGTGACACGATGGATAAGGGTGAGAGGGGAATCTGCTGCCATGCCTGCATATGCAAAAGGGGCAAACACCAGTTTCAACGTGCCTGCATTTTTGCATCAAGGAGAATGTTGGCTGGCTTGATGTCGCGATGCACAATGCCAAAATCATGCAGGTACAGCAGCCCCTTAGCTACTCCAATCAGTATATCCAGCCGCTGCCGCAGAGAAAGGGGATTGGAGACACCAGGTCCAATCCAGCTCTCGAGATCCCTATTCTCCATGAGCTCATATATCAGAATCTGCTCCATCTTTCGTGTGGACGGGTCAAAGTCGATGCAGAAGCCCAGAAGGCGCACGAGATGAGGGTGGTGCTTGCTTGCCATCTCCTTCATCTGGAAGAACAAGTAGTGAAAAGATGGGTGATGACCAGACGGATGGATAAGAAATATTTGGACCAAAAAGGTATTTCACAGTGTGAAAGAAATGATTACAAATCATGACATACCTCTGTCTGGAAATCGTTGGTGAGCACTCGAGCTCGTTTGACTGCCCAGGCTTGAGTGAGGTCATAGGGAGACACCCCTTTGTATACATCCCCAAAGCTGCCGCTTCCAATCCGGTTCTCCTCTGCCCAATCCGATGTAGCTTCTGCCAATGCAGCTAGAGAATATTCCCGAAAAACATCGGGCCGTGCTGCCTCCATGTCCACCACAGCACCACCATCCTGTCCCCCTCGTGCTACTGCTGCAGCAGCTGCTGCTGCTGCCGCCCATCCTGCCTCTGGATCTGGCGTCTCGTGGTGTGCTCCTGCAAAGGAATATGAGTGTGTGTGTGTGTGTGAGAGAGAGAGAGAGAGAGAGAGAGAGAGAGAGAGAGAGAGAGAGAGAGAGAGAGAGAGAGAGAGAGAGAGAGAGAGAGCCTATGTCCCTTAGTATTTAGAGCCTCTATCCTCTCATTCCTCTGTTTTTAGTTTGGTTTCTTCTTTTTCTCCTTCCCTTGGTGGCGGGAGAGAGAGGAGAGAGAGAGAGCGAGAGAGAGAGAGCCTATGTCCCTTAGTATTTAGAGTCTCTATCCTCTCATTCCTCTGTTTTTAGTTTGGTTTCTTCTTTTTCTCCTTCCCTTGGTGGCGGCTCGCGCCGGCGGCCTTCGGCCGCGACGCTCGGCGCAGCCTGCGGCCGCGCGATAGGGGTCGGCAAATACATTGCTCAAGACTCAAACAACTCAAGGATACAACAACAACGGCACAAGGAGACCACGAGCCGGCACACCCGACACCTAACTCCAGACATGGAGAGCCTCATCCGCCGCACCGAGGCTCTAGCGCTGGTGAGCTCGTCTCCCACGCGAACGTACGTCAGGAGGGAGCAGGTCACGTGAGCTGGTCCGCTCCCGCTTCTTCCAGCAGGGCCGTCACATAGCCCTCCAGGAGCTGGAGCGCTGACACGGCTCCGCCAACGATGTCTACAGCTGCAGCCGAATCTATGCTCGCCGACACTGCGCGCATCACGGCGAGGAGCTGGGGGTCCAACACTGTTCCCCGGGCGGGCGCAGGCTGCACTCGCGTCGACACGATGGCGAGATCCGCAGCAGCCATCGCGCAGCGATGGAGAGGATCATGGGGCATCCTGCACGGGCTCGCTAAGCCCCGTAGTACGGAGTGCGAGTCCGTCAGCATCCCCACTGCGATCCCCATCGCCCGCCGCGCGTGCCAGAGCCGTCGAAACGTGGCGACTGGGACCGCCATCTCCACGAGGCGCTCCCGCTCTCGCAGCCGCTCCACCTGCACCCTCGGCGGCATCCGCAGCCCGCCTGGGCGGCGCTGCTCCGACCCCTCATACGGAAAGCCCTCATCGGAGGACTCCGCCCCCCCCGTCTCCGCTGCTTCTGCCCCCCCCTCGACTCCTGTCGGCGAGCCCATCGCCATACGGGGGGGAACAAAGGGCGCGGCAGCCCGCGCGCAGAAGGACGGCGGAGCCACCGGCTGCCGCTGGCCTTCGTACCAGCTCACCGCCGATGCCCCCACCACTGGTGGCTGCCAGCTTGGCAGCGTCCCCACGGTCGGCACTTCCGTCGGTGCAGCCTGTGTGCTGGGCGCGAGGTGATGTGGGGGCAGCGGCTGGGCCTGGTACCAGGGGGCAGATGGCGGAGGCAGCTGACGATGCTCCTGACGGGGTGGCGGCTGTGGCGCCACGGACACAGGCGCCGGAAGCGGTCAAAACGGCTCTTGCAGCGGCACAGAATACGGAGGGGGCACTATCGCGGGCGGATTCTGCGGCGGGGGAACACGCTCGGGGGCTGAGGCGGTGCTACCGAACGGAACAGGTTTTCAAGGGTCGCAGCGGCGCGACCCAACCGCCTCTCCGCGGCCGAGCCCCGCCCGTTGCCCCCTCCGGCCCTCCACCCGCGGTGCGGTCCAGACTGCCCACGCTGCCCCTGCGGCGTCCGGCGCTGCTGGGCGGGAGCCGCTTGCGCCCCTCGCTGGGGTGTCCCTCGACGCGGCGGGACCAGCGGGAGCCACTGCTGCGGAAGCTGCACTGCCCCCGGCTCATCTTGGTCCGCACGCTCGAAGGCCTTCCGCTCGTGACGTGCAGGGGACGAGCGGCGGTTGCCAGACAGACGCTCTGGGGTCTGCTGGCGGCTCGTTGGCGAGCCGGGGACTCCGCGCTCCCAACCGTGGTTTGCGGGCGGTGGGGAACTCTCCCGATCTCGGCGGGGGACGCTCTCCCCCGTGCTCTCCAAATCCAGGGACCGCTCGCGACGGGGACGCCCAGCTCCCACCACATTTCGGGGTGACTCCATTGATGGCCCGGACGCCTTCCTCGGCGTCGCCCGTGCATCGGACCGGTCAGCGAGCGTCGGGCGGCGTGGCAGCACGCAGTGGAAGCCGGGACCAAAGAGGTCGGGGGCGCGGTCGAGGACGGACAGGCGTCTTGTCTCGGGATGGAGGCCCGCTGAACGACTTCCAGCAGGCTGCTAACCAGGCTTTAAGGGAGGGAGGGCGGAGGGAGGTAACTGGCGAGGAAGAAAGACGGGACGCATCTTATGTACCGGAGAGAAGCCAGGACTCATAAACGGAGGAGTCCAGTGCAGCTCTGGAGGAGAGAACTTCGTCACGCAGGCAAGGCAGGAACCCGTCCCCATCGCTCAGATCCCGCGGACGAAGACCTGCGCACACACAGCCACCTGGCTCTCCCGCCCAGGCTGCCAGAGGGGGTGCGTGAAATACGCGTCCCTCCCGCGCCAGTAGCTCGCCTGATATCCAGATCCCTCGGCAGTTTTCGCCACAGGAGCTGTCGTCCAACGAATCCCTGTTCGCTGGGGTGGCGGGATGGGATATCGACCTGCTTTGCGACAGTCGCCAACCCCCAATTTCCCGCAGAATCCCCCCCAAACTTCGTCAGCTCTTCGCCCTAGCACTCCTGACACCTCTGCTACACATCGCACACAGGCCAACCAGCCTCGCGGGTTGGCGCCTGTTACTTTTCGTCCCTCGCCTGACTCTTCGCCTGCACTCGCCCAAGCACCCTGATTGGGCCACGGTGGAAAAACGACTGCAGCAGTTCCTCGCGGGGGACTGGCAGCAGCTGTACCTGTCAGCAATCGACGCTGTGCATAACCTCCCCCCTCCTCGCCACGTGCCGGACACCATCGGCAGGCAAAAGCGGGCAGAGGGACTTGTCCGCCGTGGCAGTCTCCGACGTGCCCTGTTGGCACTGGACTCGACTCCGGTCAGCGATTCAACCCCCGACGTCCTCGAGGCACTGAAGTCCAAGCACCCCGCTCCGTTGACCGAGTCAATCGCGTGGCCCACCCTCGACGAGTCAGATGCGGGCCCCACGGTTTCGCAGGAGGCGTTCATTCGTCTGCTGAGCCGCTGCGAAAACGGAGTGGGCGCAGGGCCTTCTGGAATGTGCTTCGAGCACATTCGCGAAGCTGCCCTCGCCAACAACTCGGTCGCTGTCAAACTCCATGAGCTCGCATTACGCCTGCTCCAAGGGGATTCCACAGCCGAAATCGCCGCCCTCCTCACCGCTAGTCGATTAATCGCATTCTCCAAGCCCGGAGGCGGTACGCGACCTATAGCCATAGGCGAGTGCTTGCACCGCCTCGTGGCGAAGGCGGGCCTCCTCACCATGACGGCGCAGGCACAAACTCATTTCCTCCCGCTGCAGTTCAGGGTGGCAGTACGCGCGGGTGGCGAGGCGATCATCCACGGAGCCCGCACATACACATCCGAATTTCCGTCCGCCCTGGTACTCCAGGTCGACGTGTCAAACGCTTTCAACAGCGTTGACAGAGCCGCGATCGTGGCAGGCCTTTTCAACTCGCCCCTCCGGCCGCTCCTCCCCTTCGTCAAACTCTCCTACGGAGCGCCGTCGCGACTATATCTAGACGCGGGATTCTGCAGCGCACCCCTCCTAAGTGCCCGGGGTGTTCGTCAAGGGGACCCCATGGGCCCCCTGCTTTTCGCTGCGGCTTTGCACCCAGCTCTCCAGGCGACAGCCTCAGCGTTTCCTAGCGTGCTCTGCCTCACCTACGCCGACGACATCACACTGCTTGGAGAGCCGTCAGAGTGCGTGTCGGCATTTACCCAACTCACAGAGGCCCTACGCCCCTTGGGCCTCACGCACAACCCTTCCAAATGCGCGGCGTGGTCAACTACCCAGCCCCCCAGCCCCATACTCCCTCCAGGCATCCCCTTCCGCACTGACGGCCTGCGCGTCCTCGGAAGTCACCTCGGCCCCACCGAAGCCACAGCAGCTTTCCTTCGGGAGCAGCTGGCCGACATGGCGAGACCGCTCCCCGACCTGGCGACCATGGACCCCCAAGCTGCGGGCCTTCTCCTCCACCGCTGCGTTTCAAGACGCGTATCCTATCTCACCCGCACCACACCCCTTGACTCGCTGCCGTCCGAGGAATGGTCCAACTGGGGGCAGAAGCTCTTCCATACCCTCCTCCTCTCGTGCAACCTTCAGCTCCCACGGGGTGAACAGGAGCGGTCGCGCACTTGGCACCAAGCCTCTCTGCCACCCTCCTTTGGCGGCCTCGGCATCGTGGACCCCGCAGTAGAAGGCCCGCACGCCTTCCTCACTAGCGTCGCACAGGCCCACCGGCTGCTCATATCCCTCCCATCGGATCCGACAGGCCCACTCGCTGCGGCGGCCTGCTCCTTGGCCCCTCCCTTCATCGGACCCTCGCGTCTCCATACCTGGTTGGCGAACTGCGAATCGGCCCTCCCAGCTCCAGCCTTGGCACTTCTGCAGGCCGAACGGGCTGAGCCCTCGGACGATCCTCTCCAGCACCGACTGGCCGTGGAAGTACACGCAGCCCGCTTCGCCCGACAATTAGCCGCGTCACAGGAGATGGACCCCAACCCCCTCAGCGGCCATACCCAGCGGCTCCTCTCCCTCACTGGGTACGGCGCCGGCGACTGGCTCCTCGCCATCCCCCTATTCCCTTCTCTTCGGCTGGCGCCGCCTCACTATGCCATCGCCCTGGCATTCCGTCTGGGCCTCCCTTTCCCGGCACCCAGGGTCTGCAACTGCGCCCAACAGGTCGCGATCCCCGACCCCCGCCTACCAAACCACCTCCTCCGCTGTGGGACGGGACACGGTCGTACCGACACGCACAACGCCCTCCGTGATGAGTGCGTACGTATGGGGCGTGACGCACAGCTCATCGTCACGAAAGAAACGGCAATGTATAACCCTGTCGACGGCAAGACCGCCGACCTGGCCATACGCGACCGGGACTCGGGGGCGGTCTGGATCTGTGACGTCACCGTCACCGACCCAGTCAGCACCCGGGACCCGCTAGCGCGCAAAGGCCGCGGTTACATGGCCCGGGAGCAAGCGGACAAAAAGATCGACGACTACCGCCACCGGGCAGCATACGTCGGTTTCTTCCCACTCGCCGTCGAGACGTATGGCTGCCCATGCGCCGAAGTGCCAACCTTCCTGAAGCTCCTCGCACACACGGCCGCTCGCCGCCTTTTCAATGCTGACCCCAGCTCCTATCAGGCGGCTAAACTGCTCAGCCAGTTCCGCCAGCGCTGGTCTGTCACCCTTCAGCGGGGTCAAGCCCTCACCTACCTCGGGAAGGTGAATGAGGCTTCGCCACTTGAAGGGCCGCCCCTAGGTGCTCCTGAGGCGGGCATGTCCCTTGGGGACTGCTTCGCGGTCATTGAACACCCACGGGAGTAGCTGGGGACTAGGATCCCGTCCACGAATACCATGCATGCTTGTACCTACCTTATATGCCTTGCGTGTACCCAGGATCTTCCAGCAATGAAGGACCGTTAGAGAGAGAGAGGAGAGAGAGAGGGAGAGAGAGAGAGAGAGAGAGAGAGAGAGAGAGAGAGAGAGAGTGAGAGGGAGAGCAAGAGAGAGAGAGAGAGGGAGAGAGCTGGTTTTCAGCTCCTCTCCCCATCCCTTGCTCTCACTCCCTCTCTCCCTCCCCTGCCCTCACTCCTCCCTCCCTCCCCTGCTCTCACTCCTCTTCCCCTCCCCTGCTGCCACTCCTCTCCCCATCCCCCTCAATCCCTCTCTTCCTCCCCACCTCGCACTCCTCTATCCCTCCCCTGTTCGCAAACCTCTCCCCCTCCCCTGGTGTCACTCCTCTCCCCCTCCCCTGGTGTCACTCCTCTCCCCCTCCCCTGTTCTCATTCCTCTTCCCCTCCCCTGCTGTCACTCCCTCTCTACCTCCCCTGCTCACACTCCCTCTCTCCCTCCCATGCCCTCTCTCCTCCCTCCCTCCCATGCTCGCACTTCTCTCCCCCTACCCTGCTCTCTCTCATCTTCCCTGTCCCAACGTTCACTCCTCTCCCCTTCCCCTGCTCTCACTCTTCTCCCTTCCCCTGCTTTCACACCTCCCCCCCTCACCTGCTCGCACTCCTCTCCCCCTCCCCTGCCCTCACTCCTCTTCCCATTGCCTGCTCTCACTCCCTCCCTCCCTTCCTGCTTTCACTCCTATCTCCCTCTCCTGCCTCTCCCTCTCCCCTGCTCTCACCCCTCTCCCCTTCCCTCGCTCTCCCGCCTCTCCCCCTCGCCTGCTCTCAGTCGTCTCCCTCACCCCTGCCCTTGCTCTCACCCCTCTCCCCTTTCCCCTTCCGCTGCCCCTGATCTCCCTCCCGCGCTCACGCTGCTCCCTCCTGCGCTCACGCTGCCCCCTCCCGCGCGATCACGCCGCTCTCCCTCCCGCGCGATCACGCAGTTCTTCCCGCGCGCTCATGCCGCTCTCCCTCCCGTGCGCTGACGCCGCTCTCCCTCCCGCGCGCTCACGCCCCTCTCCCTCCCGCGCGCTCACGCCGCTCTCCCTCCCGCGCGCTCACTCCGCTCTCCCTCCCGCGCTCACTCCGCGCTCCCTCCCGCGCTCTCACTCCGCTCTCCCTCCCGCGCTCACTCTGCGCTCCCTCCCACGAGCTCACTCCGCTCTCCCTCCCGCGCTCACTCCGTGCTCCCTCCCGCGAGCTAACTCCGCTCTCCCTCCCGCGCTCATTCCGTGCTCCCTCCCGTGCGCTCACTCCGCTCTCCCTCCCCTGCCCTCGCTGCTTCCTCCCTGCTTTCGCCTCAGCCACTCTGTGCTATCGCGTCACTTGGTAGGTTCTGTCGCGTCTCTCCGTCCCTGCTGTCGCGTCTCTCCGTCCCTGCGGTCGCGTCTCTCCGTCCCTGCCATCGCGTCTCTCCATCCCTGCCATCGCGTCTCTCCGTCCCTGCTCCCGCGTCACTTCGTCCCTCAGGATGAATTATGCGCGGTTCACACTGCTTAGCCGGTCGTCGGGGGATCTGCGGCATTATCGCTATCATTCCTTATGGCGCGAAGTTTTGTCTAGGCTTGGCTACGCGCGCGAGAAACCTCGTATGCTGGCTAGTTTCTAGTCACTAGTCGGTGTCCCCCGGGTTCCAATTTACAAAATTTGATAGCAACTTTCCCTTAGCCGTTTGAGCTGAGAGAGAGCCAGGGGTTGGGCTGCTTGGGCGAAGGTGTTTGCTTGCCTTTCAACCAATCACGAGCCCCCTTTTACAGCCACCGCGTCATTGTTCAGTTTCATCCGGGTGCATGGGGTTACCAACCTTTTTGCGCCGCGAGATTGCTAGCAAAAAAACTCGCGCCTTGCAACTTGGGATCTGGGCTTTAACGAAGATTAAATTTCGTTAACGCATTTTTGTTCGTCAGTTCGTTTGCGCGTCAGCACACGACACAAACAATCGCACATTTGACGGAGTGCTTGACATTTCGTCAGCTTCGGAAGACACTCCCACAATCTCGGAAGACACTCAATTTGCCCCACGACACGATGACAGGAGCGGATGACACGACGTAGGAATCGGCCCTCATGTATTTTCCCGCAGTGGCTTCTTACCACAGCGGACGCGGTGCATTTTCCCATCTCTTCCGCGCGCCATAGGCTGGTAGTTCCGCGCGCTTTGGTAGCAAGCATGTGGCGGGGACGGAAGGAGCCTGCGCGAGAGCGCGCGGAGGCGGAGGAATCGGCGGAGAGCAGCGACGGGGAGACGGAGGGGAGCCGCGTCGCGGAGAGCGACGCGGAGGACAGCGCAAGTGACGACGCTAGCGGCGGCGGCGGCGGCGGAAGTAACAGGAACGATATAGTACACGTGGGAGCGAGGAATAAGCAGCGAGCGAGAATGGGAAAGAAGTTGGGAGGGGAGGACCACTCTTTGAATGACACGTATGAGTCAGACAGGAGTGACGTGGAGGACGATAAACACGGAGGAAAGCGGATCAAATCCACGTCATCAGCGACACGTGGCAAGCCTCCCATCCCCAGCAAGGTGCGGCTGCCTTGGCTGACGTGGCTTGCTCTGACTGGCTCGTATCTCGTCGCACTGATTCTCGCCTTCAGCGTGCTCCGCGCTACACTCCCCGCGCATAAGGACCCGCTCGCCCCTTGCAAGCTCGCGCATTCCGCCAATACCTCCGCCATTTCCGCCGCCGCGGCTGGCGGGAACCAATGGCCGAACGCGACGTTTTCCCCAAATGCCACGTGTCCCGTCCCGTGGCACCCAGCCGTGGACGTGCTGACGTGGCGGTGGTCCCCGCTAGCGGCGGCGGCGGCCGTGCTAGGATTCATGGTTTGCGCGCTGCGCGCATTGGGGAGCGGACTGGGGGAAATCGGCGCGCTGGAGGAGCGCCTGCGCGCCTTAGAAGGGGGAAGGGGCGGGCGCGGGGGAAGACTGGGGGAAGGCGGGGCGGAGGGGGATGGTGGCGGAAGCGGAGGGGGAGGGGGTTCAGGGGGGGTTGGAGGGGTGTCTGGCTCGGAAGGAGGTTCGGAGGGAGGTTTGGGAGGGAGGGCGGTGGTGACAGCTGGCGGCAAGCTGGCAGTGTCGGTGGGGCGGAGCTCCCTCCTGGGGATTCTGGTGCACGAGATAAGGGCGCCGCTTAGAGGTAAGAGTGATACTTACAGGTAGGTAGGTAGGATCGCCCCTTAGATTTAAGAGTGGCTCTTAGGGGGGTGAGGTTGGCTTTGGGAAAGAGATGTTTAGCAGAGCAGAGCAGTGCGCAGAGCAGAGCAGTGCGCTGCACGCTGCCAACGCGAGCGGGGGAGAACGACACTGCACACCGCCTCTTCTGTCGTCTCTTCTGTTAAGAGTTCGTTCTTCCCTGCTCGCGTTGGCAGTATCGTGCTCGGACCAAATCGGCCATAGATTCCTCTCCACCGTCGCCACTCACTTGCTTTGTTCTTTGATCCCTCCCCCCCTCTCCCTTTCCCCCCCCATTCCCCGTTCCCCCCTCTCCCCGTTCCCCCCTCTCCCCATTCCCCCCTCTCCCCGTTCCCCCCTCTCCCCGTTCCCCCCCCTTCCCCGTTCCCCCCTCTCCCCGTTCCCCCCTCCCCGTTCCCCCCCTCCCCGTTCCCCCCCTCCCCATTCCCCCTCCCCGTTCCCCCCTCCCCGTTCCCCCCTCCCTGTTCCCAACCCCCCTTCCCCCCCGACGACTTCGCCTTGCATTAGTAAGCTTTTTTCACTTGACTCATTTACATTGCTTTCTGTTTATTTGCCATAGGGGAAGGACATGGCCGGATAGGCACATCATAAATAGTGGCATTGGTATTAAGCCTAGCCTGTCCTTGAGCAATAAAATTTCACGGCTTGGTCATATTTCCCCGTACCCTCCCTCCCCTTCTCCCCCTCTCCCCCTTCCTCTGATCCCCCTCTCCCCCCTCACCCCCTCTCCCACGATCGCTCCTCCTCACTCTCTCTCTCCCCACTCATCTCCCCAGGCTTGCTGGGGCTGCTCCAGCTGCTCCTCTCCTCCTCCCTCGATGAATCGCAGCGCGACATGCTGGCAGCCATCCAGGCCACGGCGCGCCACGTCATCCACGTCGCCAACAACGTCGTCGACAGCTGGCGCATCGAGAACCGCCGGATCGCCGCCGCATCGTCCGCCGCCGCCTCTTCCGCCGCCGCTGCACTGTTCCGAGGGGAAAGAGGCGGAGGGGGAGGGGGTGGGGGAGGGAATGCAGGGCAGGCAAGGGGGCAAGGGCTGGGGCGAGGTGGAGCAGTGGGGAGAGGGGGGGCGGCGGCGAGTGTGGGGCTGGAGAGTGCGGTGTTTGACCTGCGGTCGCTGGTGGACGAGGTGGTGCTGCTCGTGGCGGGCGAGGCGAGGGAGAAAGGGCTCGAGCTAGCAGCGCTGGTGATGGACTCCGTGCCCAATGTGGTGGTGGGGGACCCCCTCAGGCTCAGACAGGTGCGTGCGTGTGAGGTGGTGGGTTGTGGGCGTGTCAGGGCGCTCTCTTACCGCAGTAAGCGAGGTCGCAGTGCTGGTGATGGGCTCCGTGCCCAGCGTGGTGGTTGGAGACTCTCTCAAACTCAAGCTCAGACACGAGTGGCCGTCCGAATCAAACCCCGGGTCATCTGTTCGTCGTTCTCCTCCCCCCCCCAACTGCTCCTCACGGTCTCACTCTTTTTCCCCCGCCCCCCTGCGCCCCTCAGATCCTCGGGAATCTCATGGCAGTGGCGGTGCGCCTCACAGACAGGGGCCACGTGTTTCTGGTTGTACGGCTGGCGCCGGATGACGACGAGATGCAGCGAATGGCGGACCCCAACTCGCCCGACGGCATGGAAGGTGCACTGGGTAGCAGCAAGGGGGGTCAGATGCGAGCATGCACTCACGCGTTCCTTGCTCGTGGGGCGCCAGGCACTGCGATGCGATGCAGCGAATGGCGGACCCCAATTGTCCGGATGGAAGCGAAGAGCGAGCAGCGGTTCAGGGCTTTCAGTGTGGGCGTCAGTATCCGTGGGGGGGGAGGGTTTACACCACGACTGTTTAATTGGATGGCTAGCTGGCTGGCCCAGACCGAAGTCCCCTCATGAGACTGAAGGTGCGTTTTTCACACTGAGAAGTTCGTTTTGAGGTCAATCCTGCCTTTTTCCTTTCATACCCCGCACTCCTCTCCATACCCGCATTCCTCTGCCGCCCCTCCGTGGTGTCCAGGCGCAACCCAAGCAGGGTTGGCACGCACAGGAGGCGGAGAGAATAGCCCACCCTGCGCGGGTAAGCCAGGCCAAGGGGGAGAGCCTCACACTCTATAGCCAGGCGGCAGCGGGTGGCAGCGACAGCAGGGCGAGCAGAGCAGCGTGCCACATATCCCGTACTGCGCCTTCCCTACCCACCCTGTGCCGTGCCCTTCTCCCTCCTCCCTCCTCCCGCAGAGTTTTCAGACGTCTCAGAAGCAACAGCTGGGCGACCACCACCATGCCACCACCATGCCACCACCATGCCTCCACCATGCCTCCACCATGCCACCACCATGCCTCCACCATGCCTCCACCATGCCACCACCATGCCTCCACCATGCCTCCACCATGCCTCCACCATGCCTCCACCATGCCTCCACCATGCCTCCACCATGCCACATATCCTGTGTTGCGCATTGCCTACCCTGTGCTGTGCTGTGCTGTGCTGTGCTGTGCTGTGCTGTGCTGTGCTGTGCTGTGCTGTGCTGTGCTGTGCTGTGCTGTGCTGTGCTGTGCTGTGCTGTGCTGTGCTGTGCTGTGCTGTGCTGTGCTGTGCTGTGCTGTGCTGTGCTGTGCTGTGCTGTGCTGTGCTGTGCTGTGCTGTGCTGTGCTGTGCTGTGCTGTGCTGTGCTGTGCTGTGCTGTGCTGTGCTGTGCTGTGCTGTGCTGTGCTGTGCTGTGCTGTGCTGTGCTGTGCTGTGCTGTGCTGTGCTGTGCTGTGCTGTGCTGTGCTGTGCTGTGCTGTGCTGTGCTGTGCTGTGCTGTGCTGTGCTGTGCTGTGCTGTGCGCCCCTCCATGTTCCGCATTCAGCCCCCAGCAGGGAGGCCCAGGCAGTGGAGGCAGAGAGAATCGCCCGGGGGCGAGCAAGCCAGGCCAAGGGGGAGAGCCTGACTCTGAGTGGGCGGGCGGCGGCGGACGGCAGCAACAGCTGGGAGAGCATCTGCCGCATGATCCGCGAGCAGGAGGCGCGGTTCCGTCGGCTCATGGGGCCGCAGCGGGGGACAGGAGAAGGGGGGATCGGGGGGGGAGGGGGAGCAGGGGGAGGGGACGGGGAGAGGGGTGGTGGGGGGGCAGGCGGGGGGAGAGGAGGCGGGAGAGGAGGTGGAGGAGGAAGGGGGGGAGGAGGGGAGAGCAGTGGGAGAGGGGGAGTGCGGCTGATTTGCACGTTGGAGGACACGGGGGTGGGGCTGCCTGACGCTGTGTTCGATGCCATGGAGATGCCCTTCCACCCGCTCTCGCTGCCGCTGCAGCAGCGCTTTGCGGCCGTGCCGCTGCTGCTCAACGTGGCTCAGAAGTGAGTGGCTCTAGTGTGTGTGTGCGTGGTTGCTTGCTGCTTGCTTGATGCTGCTCAACGTGGCACAGAAGTAGGTTGCTCCCTCTCTCATTCACCCAGACTCCCTCTTGTGCAATCTCATACTAGCACCATGCTCGTGCACGTGCCCCCCCCCCCCCCCCCCCCCCACTCCCTCCCTCCCCCCCACGCACACTTCTGCCTCTCTCACACGCTCAGATCCTCACACTCCTGTCCTTTCTCACTCTCTCTCTCCTCATCGTCCCTCTCTGCCTCACAGTCTAGTCCCAGCCACGCACAGCTGTCTCCTCGTCTACAGCTGTCCGATTATCGGCTTTCTACCGTTTCGCATTCCACCGCCCACCTTCCACCTCTCACCTTCCACTGCCCACCTTCCACCGCTCACTCTCTCCCTGTGTGTCAACCCCCGCACGCACCTCCCTCCCCCCGCCCTCCTCAGTCTAGTCCAAGCTGTCCTCGTCTACAGCGGCCCTGGCATCGCCTCCCCGCTCCCCCGCTCCCCCCCCTTGCAGTATAGTCCAAGCCATGCACGGTCGTCTCCTGATTTACAGCCGCCCACCTTCCTCCTCTCACTCACCCCACCGCCCACCTCTCGCACCCTCTCACATCCCCTCCCCATGTGCCACTCTCAAACCCTCTCCCCCCCCCTGCTACCCCCCCCTTGCAGTCTGGTCCAAGCCATGCACGGTCGTCTCCTGGTTTACAGCCGCCCTGGCATCGGCTCCACCTTCACCTTCGACCTCTCGCTCGCCCAGCCGCCCACCGGCCCGGCCTCTAGCCTGCTGCCACGTGTCTTCCACGCGGGCTTCGGGCCAATCCCGGACGAGCAGCAGGCGGAGTGCCTGGCGCTGAGGGGGAAGCTCAGGGGGTTGAGGTGCCTGGCTGTGGACGGCCGACCCGTGAGGCAACAGGTGGGCTGTGCAGGTGGGCTGTGCAGGTGGGCTGTGCAGGTGGGCTGTGCAGGTGGGGGAAGGAAGGGAATTGAACGTGATGGGCGAGCAGCAGGCGGATTGCCTGGCGCTTAGAGGGAAGCTGAGAGGGCTGAGATGCTTGCCTGTAGACGGCAGGGCTGTGCGGCAGCAGGTGGGTGGGCGTGGAGTGAGGAGGTGTGTGTCCGGACTCGACCAGAGCATTATTCCCCCTCCCTCTCCCCAAACGCTCGCCAACTGCACCGCTCTCCTTGGCCCGAAATGCGAGAGTCTCGCTGGCAGGCAGCGTTTCTGCTGCTGCTGCCCTAACAAAACTCATTCGGGCTCAAACTTATTAAGCCAAGACTCCTTTCTCCTTCTCCCGCTCCAAACCCTCAACCAGCAGCTTAGGTTGCGTTTGGCAGCTAAAACGAGCAATAAATCGCTAGGCTGTGCTCGCATGATCTTCCCCCAACTGAGCATTCCAGCTGCACACCCCCGCGCCCAAATCTCATCAAGCGTTCGCCACCTGCGTGGCTCGCCTTGGCGTCAAAGTCGATCTCCCAGATAGTGTGTCTGCGGCTGCTGTGCCACTCAAAGCCATTCACATTCAACATGTTTCACTACGGTACCCTCCCCTTCTTCTCCCCCCCACCCTCTCAACAGGTCCTGGCCACCTGCATGGCTCGCCTGGGCCTCAAGGTGGACCTCTCAGACAGTGTGTCTGCCGCTGCCCTGGCACTCAGGCATGACGTCACCTCGCCTGCCGCCCCTGCTGCTGGTGGGGCGGGTGGTGCGGCCTCGGGTGCACACAGCATGCTGGGTGAGTGGGGCGTGGGCAGTGCAGTGGTGTGCAGCATGTGTGTTGGGTCCGTGGGGTGTGGGTGGATTTTTGCCTGCTGCTGCTTCCCTGACACTCCGGCTTTCACATCGCCCTCCCTGCCGCCCCTGCTGCTGATGCTGCTGCCACAGCCGCACACAGCACACAGCACACAGCACACAGCATGTTGGGTGAGTGCAGCTTGGGTAGCTGGGAGGAATGTAGACGCCTGGCGGTGGCAAGTTGGAAACATCCCGCAAGAGTCGCTGGGACATGATGGTGGTAGATGCAGACAGTGATGGGCCGTCCTCGCTGCATTCCCCCCTCCCACTCTCTCTGCCTTCCTCCCCCACTCCCTCATCCCCCAGGCATGGCTGTAGCCGCCCCCTGCAAGAGCCGGTGGGACATGGTGGTGGTAGAGCGCGGACAGCGACGGGCTGTCCACGGGCGTGGCGCTGGGGCGCATGGTGCTGCAGCTGAGGGAGGTGGAGACTCCTGATGGTTGCTCCAGCAGCGGTTGATGGCATCAAACCTTTCTATGCGTCCAATGCCTCCATCTTCCCCTCGTCCCCCAGGCATGGCTGTGACAGCCCCCCGGAAGAGCCGGTGGGATGTAGTGGTGGTGGATGCAGACAGCGATGGGCCGTCCACGGGCCTGGCGCTGGGGCGCATGGTGCAGCAGCTGCGGGAGCTGGAGGCGCAGCAGCGGGCCATGGACCCCGTGGCCATCACCCAGTCGCTGGCATCGCTCGGCTGGGAGCAGCACTCCAACCTGCCGCTGCTGGTGCTCGTTTCCAAAGTGAGAGGGGCTGCTTAGGAGTGGCCGTATCGGTCAATGAATCCTGGCTGGCGTTGGCCATGTGGCCGCATGCTGCAGCGAGCAGCAGTAGGCCCTGTGCCGCGCAGCAGCGAGCAGCAATAGGCCCTGTGCCGCGCAGCAGCGAGCAGCAATAGGCCCTGTGCCGCGCAGCAGCGAGCAGCAATAGGCCCTGTGCCGCGCAGCAGCGAGCAGCAATAGGCCCTGTGCCGCGCAGGAGCGAGTAGCAATAGGCCCTGTGCCGCGCAGCAGCGAGCAGCAATACAGCCTGTGCCGCGCAGCAGCGAGCAGCAATATACCCTGTGCCGCGCAGCAGCGAGCAGCAATATACCCTGTGCCGCGCAGCAGCGAGCAGCAATATACCCTGTGCCGCGCAGCAGCGAGCAGCAATATACCCTGTGCCGCGCAGGCCATCCCTCCCTGGCTTCGCCAACCAAATCCCTCTCTATCCTCTCTCTCTCTTCCCACCCCGTCCGTTCCCTTCCTCTCATAACCCCTTCCTCTCATAACCCCTTTCTCTCATAACCCCTTCCTCTCATAACCCCTTCCTCTCATAACCCCTTCCTCTCGTAACCCATTCCTCTCATAACCCCTTCCTCTCGTAACCCCTTCCTCTCATAACCTTAGTTGCTATAAACGCTCTAGCAGACGCGCGTTTAGCGTTCAAACGCTTGCGTTGGAACGCAAACGCCAAACGAACCCTAAAACGCAAACGCTCGCTGGGTTTTTTTTTCGGGCTGCCCCCTGGAAAAAAAATCGAAAATAATTGTGGTAAATTGAGACTTGGCGAATTCAGCGCGACATTCGCCAAGTCCCAACTCCCAACCATCTCGTCAATATTCACCTCCCAACCAACTCCCCCCCCCCAACCGCACTCCACTCCACACATCGTCAACTAGAGCTTCCAACCCCTCCTCCTCACATCTCGTAGTTCCACGCAAACTCCCAATCTCCTTCCCCCGTCAGATCTGCTTTCTAATTGCCACGCGCCATAGCCGTAGCAACTTTCACACCCCACGCAATACCTTAACTTAAGGGCGCTCGCCCATGTCAACCCCTGAGAGCGATGCGGATGTTGCTGTTACAGCGTCCGCATGTTCTAATGCGTACAAGGCGGATAAGAATCATGAGGTCTATAAATACTTCCGCGTTCTAGTCAAGGAGGCCGGTGCAATGCAGAAATACGAGTGTCGCCCGGACATGTGTTTTGCATGACATTTGAGGATGCTTGCATAAATGTTCATGACGGATTTATTTTTCTTGGACAAAATGGTTGCTTGCAGAACCCCCATTTCCCCACCCCCCCACAGGAAATTTTTACCCCTGCCCGGGCAATTTTTTTTGCCCTGCCCGGGCAAGCGTTTGCCTAGCGTTCACATACACTATGACAAGCGTTTAGCGTTCAAACGCCAAACGCGTTTGTAGCAACTAAGCTCATAACCCCTTCCTCTCATAACCCCTTCCTCTCATAACCCCCTCGACTCCACCGAAATCCAGAAGGAGGAAGCAAGAAGGTGGGCGGGCCTTATAGGCATGATGTTGCCCTTCACATCGTCTTCCCTCCTGAGCGTCTCCACTGCACCCTGTGCTCTTGCCCTTGCCCCTTTCTCTCACCCCACGCCCCCACGCATCATGGTCCCTTCCCTCGCTCTCTCTGCATCTCTCTTCCCGCCCACTCATGCCATCTTCCCCCCCGCCACTCCTGTCCCCAGGATTCCAACGAGGCCTTGAAGGAGGAGGCGCAGAAGCTGGGCTTTGCTGGCCTCATAGTGAAGCCGCTGCGAGCCGCTGACATGGCGACCACTCTGCTGGAGGTACGGCTGGGATGGGGGGAAGTGGTATGGTAGGGGTGCCTGAGGTTTCACAGTTAGAGATGCAGCACGGGTACAAGGGCAACAGGTACGGCGACCACTCTGCTGGAGGTATTGCTGGGAGAAGTAGAGGTGGTAGACACAGCAGCCAAGTAAGTGGTGGGCGTGGTAGGGCAAGCAGCAGGGGCAGCAAGGGCAGCCAGGTAAGTGGTTGACGTCTTCACCTCTATCTCGTCTGCTCCTGTGCCTCGTCTGCACCTCTATCTCGTCTGCACCTCTATCTCGTCTGCACCTCTATCTCGTCTGCACCTCTATCTCGTCTGCACCTCTATCTCGTCTGCACCTCTATCTCGTCTGCGCCTCTTTCTCATCTGCGCCTCTTTCTCGTCTGCACCTCTATCTCGTCTGCGCCTCTTTCTCGTCTGCGCCTCTGCCTCGTGACGACGCAGCAAGTAGCTGCAGCTGGCATCAGGAGTGCTTGGGGTGTGGCCCTTCAATGGCGAGACAAGTAGTATAACAGCTTTGCAGTGGACGTCAAACAAGCTTACCTGGTCGCTCCAGGCCTCCCTCACCTCTATTCCCACCCCTCCCCTTCCCCAACTCACTCCCTCCCCCCCCCCACCCCTCCCCCCCCTCCCTTTTTCAATCCACGCTTGCCTTTCCGTTTGCTCGCCCCTCCAAACTCTCCTCGCCGTCTTACGCTCCAATCCCACCGCTTCCTCACCATCCATCACTTTTGATGGCGTTCGTCCCCCAAGACCCTCTCTTTCAACCCCCGAGATACCAGCGCCACGGCAGCTAGGCTCTCGCACTTGCGTCCAGCATGGGGATCCTCTCATTCTTTCTTCTCTCTTGCGTTCCTCTCCCTCCGAGCTCGCCCCCCCAGACCCTCTCATTCAACCCCCGAGACACCAGCGCCACGGCTGCCAGGCGCCGGCAGATCCTGCTGCGACTGTGCCTCAAGGGCAAGCACGTGATGGTGGGTGGTGGTGGGTCGTGGTGGGTGGTGGTGGGTGGTGGTGGGTGGTGGTGGGTGGTGGTGGGTGGTGGTGGGTGATGGTGGGTGGAGCATGGCAATATGGTTGCATGTGACGGTGGGTGGAGCATGGCAATATGGTTGCATGTGACGGTGGGTGGAGCATGGCAATATGGTTGCATGTGATGGTGTGAAAAACATGCGAATTTGGTTGCGTGTGTGTTGATTCTGCTGTGACTCTGCCTCATGGGCAAGCATGTGATGGTGCATGTCATACATTCACATGTGTGCATGTGATGGTGCATGTCATACATTCACATGTGGTTGCATGTGATGGTGCATGTCATACATTCACATGTGGTTGCATGTGATGGTGCATGTCATACATTCACATGTGTGCATGTGATGGTGCATGTCATACATTCACATGTGTGCATGTGATGGTGCATGTCATACATTCACATGTGTGCATGTTTATAGAAGGCTGCTGCAACTGTTCCTCACGATTAGAGCATTCTATGGTACATACAGCACAATACGTACAATACTTCGATGTCCTCCGTACAGCATGCCATACGTGTATGTCGTGCGGACAGCACAATACATCTATGCATGCCAGACTCGGGTTGCCACTATGTCATGTCATGCTCCTCCCTTTTCTCTGCTTTTTCTTGCATAACCCGTACCCCCCCTATCCCCCCGTGCCCGCACCCCCTGCCCCCCCCGTGCCCCCCTCCCCCCCTCCCTCTCCCCTCCTCCCCCCGTGGCGTTCCCCCCCCCCGTCGCAATCTTGCAGATAGTGGATCACAACTTCATCAGTCGCAAGGCTGTGGCCGCCATGCCGTCTCGCTCTGTTTCTTCCCCACAACCAACCCCCCCCCTCCCGCCCCTCCCTCTCACAGATAGTGAACCGCAACTTCATAGGGCACAACGCAGTGGCTGTCATGCTCTCTCGATCTGCTCTCCCCCCCCTCCTCCCCCCCTCCCCCTGCGCCTCCTCCCCCTTGTCCCCCCGCACAGATAGTGGACCACAACTTCATCGGCCGCAAGGCAGTGGCTGTCATGCTTTCACGCTTTGCCGATGTGGCCGTGGCAGTCGGCTCAGCTGCCGAGGCCCTCGCTCGCCTGCAGGCCGCCCCCTCGCTCGCTCCCTCTCAGGGGCAGGGGCAGATGCATGGCTCGGATTTTCACCTGGTGCTTGTGAATCTGCGCCTTGCTGACATGTCAGGGTACGATTGGCTTGCTGGCATACCAGGTTCGTCTTGCTGAAGCATGAGCTTGGGCTGGTTTGTTGACGTGTGAGGGTGAGTGAGATGGACTGATCTGTTGCCTTCACATCACCCCATTTACCCCTCTCCCCTGCGATCTGCCTAGCGTATCTTATACACGCTAAAAAATCTACTGCTGTGTTGCCTTCATGTCACCCCACTAGAACCTTCCCCTGCGACCTTTGAGGCGCCTCAGAAAAAGGTGTGTGAGGGTGAGCTGAGCTGCTGTGTTGCCCTCTCATCACCCCATTTACCCTCTGCCCTGCGATCTGCCTAGCTGCAGCAAGCCTTTTCTCTGCTCTTCCACACTCCCTGTTTGCTGATATCCCCACGTTCTCACTTTGGCTGTCCCGATCCTGTAGAGGAGGAGCGCTATAAATAGGATGAGGTGCACACGGGCAGTGCATCTCAAGACTCCTTCATCCCCATCCTAACTTTCATTTCCCCCTCACATACCTGCTTCTCTGCAGCTTCGCCCTCACCGAAGCTATAAGGCGTATAGAGGAGCAGCGCTATAACGAGAACGTGGTGCACATGGGCAGTGCAGCGCAACATTCCCACATACCCGTAGTGGGTCTGGTCAACGACGCCCTGCCTGAACTGGTGGCCAAGTGAGTCAGAGAATGTGGCGAAGAGTGGGGGGGGGGGGCGAGGGGGGTGGGCGGGGGCAGACTCGAGAGTTGTTTTAAGCGCATCAGGCTTTCCTCTTTTGAAGCATATGCATGTGCGTATGGCTGCGTACGTGCATGACAAACTGTGCGTGTGTGTGTGTGTGTGTGCGTGTGTGTGTGTGTGTGTGTGTGTGTGCAGGTGGAAAGAGGCAGGTATGGATGGCATGCTCTCCAACCCCATTGACGAGGCTCAACTACTTACTGTGGTTACTAAGCTATTTAAGCCTGCTGACCCACACACATAAAATTAAATGCCTGAAGAGTTCGAATATGTGTAGCTTGCTTCACGTATGGTGTACATTAATGAGGATTTTTCGCATTCAGGTTTTTTTTTAATGGACAAAACGACTCTGTAACTTTAGAGGTTTCACTGTACAAACCGCACGTTCTCGTTCAAACCTTTGAACTTGCGAGCACCAAGCCATCCCAAAATTTGAATGTTCGGCTAGGCTGGTGGCACGGAAGCGTGAGCTCGACGATCCCAAGGCTCCTCCACAAACCCAAGCAAACCCAACCCACTATCCCAAGCGTCCCTTGATTCGTGGCTCACTCTCAAACAAAAACAAGGTTGCAAGAACATCAACGATACAATCCCAAGGGTCCGCGATCCCCGCATCTTCACCATCTCAATCACGGGAACTCCGTTGTTAATCAACACAGAGGAGTCGCCGTAGGAGGAGCCATGTAATACCGCTGCCTGCAGTATCCATTTTCTTGCACTCTCTTCAAGTTGTCTCACGTTCTGTCATTCACAGACTCGTCTGCCCGTCGTCACCGCTTCTTCACGAAGCAAGTTACTTTCACCCGTCCACCTGCTCTTTCGTAGCGGTAGGAGGAGAAGCGGACGAATGGATGTGGAGGAGGTGATAGAAGTCGAGGAGGTTGTGACTATGGCGAAGGGACGTGGCAAGCAGTCGAAGGCGACGAATGGCCGCCGCGTGACTGAAGCGAGCGGGATCGTAACGCGACAGGCGAAGACGATGACTCGCTGCAGTGTGACAGAATCGAAAGGAGGGCGCAAGCCGGTGAAGGAGGACAATGTGGTTGAAGCGAAGGGCCGCGGCAGCAGACGCGCCAAGGCTGAGAATGCCGTCGACGAGAACGGAGGCAGTAGCCGCGCGAAGGAGAACGGTGCGGTTGCACTCAAAGGAGCCGCAAAGCGCGCCAAGGCTGAGGATGCGGGCGACGAAAAGGGCGGCAGCAAGCGCGCGAAGGAGAACGGCACGGCTGAAGCGAAGATGGGCACGAAGCGCGCCAAGGTGAACAACGGCCGCAGCGTCAGCCGTGTGGAGGCTCCACGTCAGCCCAAGGACGAGAAGGCGGGGAAGGAGAAGCCTCCACGTCAGCTTAAGGGAGGAAAAGGGGAGGCTGCGTCTTTGGCTAAGAAGCAGCCTGGAAAGGCAAGGAAGAGAGGGAAGGCGCCGGCTGTCGACGACGACTTGATTCAAGTGAAACAAGCTCCACTCGCCGACTCAGGTGCGACGTAGGCTCCGCTGCTACTGATCGCGCAAGTACGACGTAGGCTCCGCTGCTACTGATCGCGCAAGTGCGACGTAGGCTCCGCTGGGCACAGACGCAGTGCAGGCTTGTATGCCGGAACGTTTTGGGCTCCTAGATTTGGTGCGTCAGAGTCTCCGTTTTGAGCTCGTTATCGAATCGGACCAAATCAACATCCGCATTGCCACTCTACCTTCCCTTCCTCCCGCGCACCCTCCGTCCGATATGCGCAGAGGAAACCGCGATCGTGCTCACTCAGCCGTCGGATGCCGCAACAGCAGCAGCATCGGCGGTGGAGAAGAAGCCGCCGGTGCGGCAGCTGCTGGACTTCGCGATTCACGACGCTGACGGCGCCATCATGCCGCTCGATAGCATCGACGCGCTGGCGGCGCGAGGCGAAGGGCTGTTCGCCACGGGCGTCATTCTTCCTGAGACCGCCGCGCTGCGCCACATGGAGGTGAGACGAGTGTACTTCGAGTGTACGACGAGCGTACGACCAGCGTACGACGAGTGTACGACGAGTGCCAGCCAATGCTCACTGCGTGGCGGAGCGAGGCTAAGGGCTGTTCGCCACGGGCGACTTTTGAGTCGACTCAAAAGTCACCTCGCCACGGGCGTCATTCTGCCCGTGACTGCCGCCCCGCGCAATATGGAGGTGAGACGAGTGTACTTCGAGTGTACGACGAGCGTACGACGAGCGTACGACGAGCGTACGACCAGCGTACGACGAGTGTACGACGCCAATGCTCACTGCGTGGCGGAGCGAGGCGAAGGGCTGTTCGCCACGGGCGTCATTCTGCCCGTGACTGCCGCGCTGCGCCATATGGAGGTGAGTGAGACGGCTGACTGCCACGCTGCGCCGTACGCTGGTAAGAGAAGAGCGTCTGTCGCCGCGCACCATGACGAGGCGACCCACGGGCCTCTTTTATCGCCAAAATTTGGAGTGTCTAGCGCGTCGGGTCGTTTCCAGCACTGGCAGTGACAACCGAAATCGGCTGCACATAAGAATACGAGCTCGTGGGGTCTCGTCATAGCCTGTCCTCTCCATGAGGGCCAGCTGCACCTCGCTGCTAACTCGCACCTGAGACCTGACGCTGCTCCTTTGCCCCTTGCTCCGTTACCCGGTACAGGGTTACAGATGCGAGGCGTTCGGGCCGATCGAGGGGTGGTACATCGACGGCTACGAGCGGGCGAGCACGGCGGCGCGCATCATGATCACCACGGACGCTGCTGTGTACGTCTGCTGCCGCCCCGCTGGCAAATCGAAGAAAGACTTCACTGCGCTCCAGGTACTCTGTGTGGGGTGGGGAGCCGCAATGACTGTTTTGAGTTGACGGGTGGTGCATCTACGGCTACGAAAATACACGGCAGCACGCATCCTGTGCTGTGTACGTCTGTGAACGCGGCGTTTGAGTCGACTCAAAAGGCATCACGCGGCGTTGAGCTCTGTCTTACCTCTTCCCACGTCTCTTCCCCGTTAGCTTACCCCCCCCTCCCCCTCCCCTCCCCTCCACCCCGCCCGACCTGCCATTCTCGCATTCCCAGGACAAGGCCAATCTGTGCGTGGAGGTGTTCAGGGCTCTCTCCAAGCCAGACGGGGGCGACCCCAGCCTCTCCCTGCCGGAGGTCATTGCTCGAGTGTCGCGCGCGCTGGGGCGGCCGTGCAGGGACGAGCTGGTGGAGGCGCATGGCTTTGTGGCGCAGCAGCTGTGCGGGCTGGATGAAGACGCGGACCAGGACGACCAGCTGTTCTCGGGACTGCCTGCGCTCGAGTGAGTGTGTGTGATAAGGTGCTTTCTCCTTTTAGGCGTTCACTCGCTTGATGGAGCAAACCAGTAGGTGGTGGAGGCGCATGGCTTCGTGGCGCAGCAGCTGTGCGGGCTGGACGCGGACGACCAGCTGTTCTCAGGACTGCCCGCGCTCGAGTGAGTGTGTGATCAGGTGTTTTCTCAGGTGATCTCATGAATTCTCGATAGCGGTTATTCCGCGAATTTCCACCACCTCCAGACGTTTGAGGAAGGCGGGGTCAAGCAAGCAGCTGTGAGCAGCATAGCGGCAAGGCAACCAGACAGCTGAGCAGCATGGACGCGCCAATCAAGTGCCTCTGTCCCTTTTCTCCTCCCTTCCTCCTCTTCTCCTCCCCTCTGTTCCAATCACTTTTCGGCTCCCTTTGCCTTCCCGCACCGTATCACAGGTCTCTGAAAGAGGAAGGGGCCAAGCAGGCAGCAGTCCGAAGCATACTGGCAGCCAGGCAGGCCAGCACCAAGGAAACCGCAGGCAAGAAACACGCTGCTAATAACGGGGCCCTCGTTATAAGAGACACGGCCGGCGGCAACAGCAGCAGCAAGGGCGGCGGTGGTGCAAGCGGTGCAGGGGTAGGGGGAATGGACGATGAGGAGCTGGCGAGGCTGGTGGCAGAGGAGGAGGAGAAGGAGGCGGAGGCCAAGAGGGGCGGTGGGCGGAGGAAAGGGGCTGGGGGTGGGGGGCAGGAGAGGTATTTGAAGATCAATGAGAAGGAGCTGGCGGACGACTACCCTCCTCCCAGATACTACAAGGTACGCTCGGTTAGGATGCGGGTTTCAAGTGGCATGATAAGTGGTGCGGTAGTTGAGTCTTAAGCTGCCTTAGGATGCAGATGCATCTCCTGTGTCTTCTATGCGTCCTGCAGCTCTCTCCGCTGGCTACCACTCTCCAACCCTCTTCTTTCCCCCGTGCCTCATCACACGTAACTGCCCCAAGGGCTCTGGACCAAGTTACTGCCCCATGGAGACGCATTCCTCCCATTGATTCCCCCGCCCTCCTCTATTCGGACCTCAAAATTGCTTAATGCTTCCATACCTGCAGGACCTGTCCCTCGTCCTCTTGTACGCTCTCTCCCCATCTCCCCACCCGTCTTTCAACCCCCTCCTCCCACCTGCCCCACCAGGGTGTGTGTGGACGAGGGTCTCTCGACCGCCGCCTCATACCCGAAGGACCTGCCCCTTGTCCCCGTGCATGCTCGCCCTATCTCCCACCCTATCACCAAAGCGTGGACGAGGAGACGGGCGAGTTTCTCCTCTTTGACGACTCCGCTGCTCCCATGTACCCGGAGGACCTGCCGCGACGGCGCCTGGACGACTGGGCGCTCTGTACGACGACCAGCTGCGCTCCGTCTCCCCGAGCTGCTGCCCATGCTGCCGTCCGGCCGTCCCCTGCTCACCCCTGCGCCTTCTTCTTCACTCCCTCCCTCCCCTCCCCGCCCCTCCCCTCCCCCTCCGTCCCCCTCACTGTTCCCACCAGAGCGTGGACGAGGAGACGGACGAGTTTCTCCTCTTTGACGACTCCGCTGCTCCCATGTACCCCGAGGACCTGCCGCGGCGCCGCCTGGACGACTGGGCGCTGTACGACGACCAGCTGCGCTTCGTGTCCCTCGAGTTGCTGCCCATGCTGCCCGGGGTCAGCGCGGACTCGCTTGTGTTCGGCTCCGGCGTCATGATGGAGGACGATGGCAGCGGGTTTAGTCTAGATGATCCCACTGTGGAATCCGCTGGCACTCGAGGCGGGGGTAGTTCGGCAGCTGGTGCTGGTAGCAGTGGTGGAGCAGCCGAGGCAGGTGGTTCTTCAGGTGGTGGTTCAGGTGCTTCAGGTAGCGGGTCGGGGTCGGGATCTGATCCTGCAGCGGCGGATGGTGGCGGTGGTATCCGGGTGTATTTGAGTGCGATCAAGGAGTGGATGATCGAGTTTGGAGCCGGGATGCTGTTCGTCACCATTCGGACGGACGGAGCGTGGTACCGGCTTGGCCGCCCCTCTGCTGCCTATGTCCCCTGGTACCGCCCAGTACTGCGCACAGCCCGGCTGGCAATCCGAGTGATTGAGATGCTGAGTGGGGAGTCTCGGGCAGCGCGCTTGTCTTTTCTCGACGTGGTAACCAGGCTGGCACAGGAGTGGGTGGAGGAGAAGAGGGAGAAGAGTGGGAAGGAGCCTGCTCGCGGGGACTTAGCTAAGTGTTTTGCTGAGATGGAGCGGTTCTTAGTGGTGCATGGGAATATTATCCTGCAGCAGTTTAGGGAGTACCCTGTAGAGACGATCCGCCGGAGCCCCTTTATAAGCACACTGAGAGGGAAAATGGAGATGCGGTCGCATACAGAGCTGAAGGTGAGCCGGAAGAAGGCTGCTATCGTTGCTCCTGGGAGGGGGGGCGAGGGGCGGGGGGGCGGAGGGGGCAGTGGAGGGAGTGCCAGAAACGCCAACCCTGCTGCTGCTTTAAGGCCGGATGCTAGTAAGAGAAAGCCCATGCGAGCTACGACGACCCAGCTAGTGCACAGGATATGGAAGGAGTATTATGAGCGGTTTGGGCTGAAGAGGGATGAGCCGGGGGCGGGTAAAGAGGGGGGTGAGAGAGAGGCGAATGGGAAGGTGGAGGGAGAGGAGGGAGGGGAGGTGGTGGAGGAGGAAGAGGAGGAAGGGGGGGAGTTGCTGGATGGGGATAGTGAGGATGAGGAGGAGGTGGTGGAGGTGGCGAATGTGAGTAAAACGAAGGGGGGGAAGGAGGCAGGGAAGAGGAAAGACAAGGGTGGGAGCAAGGGAGGGACAGGCAGCAGCACGGAGGGTAGCGCTGCAAAGGAAAACGGAGTGAGCAAGATGGAGGTAGAGGCAGAGGCAGGAGCAAACGGTGATACCCGGAAAGACGTTGTGAAGAAAGCAGACGGCGAAAGCAAAACAAACGGTGCCGAGGTGGGAACGGGCAGTGAGACGAAGGAGGAAGTCGTGAAGACCAAGGGGAGAGCCGTGAGGGACTCAACACAAGGCGTGGCGTGGGTTGGGGCGAGCACAGGCCGCACAGAGGAGGACCATCCCGCGTTCGCTGCAGCGTCCGTCTGGGGGCTCGAGGTCCGCTCAGGCACCGTGGTGCTGGCTGCTGTTGGGGAGGGCGAGGAGGAGGAGGGGGGGTGGAGGGAGGAGAGGGAGAGGGTGGTGATTGTGGAGTACATGTGGGACGAGGGGGGGGCGGGCGCGGGGGCGAGGGGCAGGAGGAGGGGCGAGGGGATGAAGGCGCATGGGCGGGTGATGGTGCGGGGGAGTGAGACGGTGCTGGGGAATGCGGCGGACGAGTGGGAGGTGTTTGTGTCCGAGCACTGCGTTGACTTCCCCCTCACGGCCATACGGTAAGTTGCCTGCCATTTAATATGCTACTTTTCTTCCATGGGGGAGTGAGACGGTGCTGGGGCATGCAGCTTACACGTGGGAGGTGTTTGTGTCTGAGCACTGCGTAGACTTCCCAGGCCATCCTTTAAGCTGCCTTATTGCCTGCATCAAATACGGCCCCATTCCTTTCATTCGGCATCTTCCACTTGTCTGTGCTTCTATGTGCTTTTGTCTCCCGCTCTTCGTCTCTCCTGTCCTCGTCTCTCCTCTCCTCTTCACTCCTCTCCTCTTCACTCCTCTCCTCGCCACTATCATTCTGTCCTTCGTTTTGCGTCCCCTTAACATTGACACGGAAATACAGCACATCACAACGGTTTTGCCCGTCCCAGCTCCGCATGCAGAAGTCCCCCTGCGTGCCATCTTCACCTATCCTCATGCGCACTATCATGTGCCCCCTCCCTCATCATCTGTCTATCGCTCGACTTGGCCTCTTGCAGGGAGAAGGCAGCAGTGACGCATCGCCAGCAGCCATGGGGAGCGGAGCACAGGTTGAGAAACATGGAGGAGGACGACAGGGAGAGGGCGCGGATGGAGAAACTATTCAAGGAAACGGGCCAGCGGTCCTTCTTCTACCGCTTCCTCTACAACCCCTCCCGCGGCGGCTTCTTCGACCTGCCCAAGAGCCTGGGCAGCGGAACGGGCAGGTGCTGCTCGTGCGATGAGGACATGGAGAGGGATGGGATGATGGAAGTGCGGAGACTGGGGGATGGGGAGGCGGGGTTTGCGTACTTGGGGAAGGAGTTCCACGTTGGAGACTTTGTGTTCATGCATCCGGCAGCAGTGGGGGAGGAGAGCGACGGGAGGAGTGGGAAGTTGGCGAAAGGCGGGAGGAACATCGGGCTGCGGGCGTGGCCTATCGGGCAGATTGAAAAGTTTGTTGCTGGCTCTGGCAAGGCAAAGGAGGTGCCCGAACAGATGGTTGTGAGGAGGTTTTTCCGGCCTGAAGATGTGCCGAGCGAGGGTGATGAGATGGCGTATACGGCACACATCAGAGAGGTGAGTGTCAGAGAGGTGAGTGCTTATTTTCTGGTTAAGAAATGGGTGAAGAGGTCGTTCATCCACCTGATGTTTAAAACCTCCTCCGCGCCCATTCCTTGAGCTTTTTCTTTGTATGCTTTTTGTAACTTCTGCAGTGTATTTATTCCACCCGTACCCACCAAGCCACAAGATCCTCCTGCCTTCTATTGTATCCCTGCACGTCAGGTGTACTACAGTGAAACCCTAATCACTGTTGACGTTACAGACGTGATAGGCAAGTGCCGCGTGCAGAGGGGGAAGCCCACCGCAGTAGCAGCAGCAGCAGCAGCAGCAGCAGCAGCAGGAGGGACAGGGGCATTGGATTCGGTCTTTAACATCGGGGGGTGTCTGGAAGAGGAGCTCCTGGGAGGCGACTTTGTCTTCTTCTGTGACCGCCTCCTCAAAGACGGCTCCGTCCGCATGGTGCTGTGCTTCTTCCTCTTCCACCTGCTGTATCGTCGCTCCTCTGTCCCCGCCACCTATTTTGTCGCTGCTGCTCTTGGCGATTTTCGAGTCGACTAAAAAATCACCTATTTTGTTGCGACTCCTCTACCCTTGCCCACTGTGGCTCCCTCTACCTTTGCTTGAGGGCAACATATGCCATCGGAAGTATCAGACGGTCCTGGAATCATGCTAATCGTCTTGGCCATGTCTCTCCCGTGCTGCGTGCCCTCTCATGTCCGCCCGCCTCACTGCCAGTCATCTCGTTTCCGCCCCTCGTACTTCCCCTCGCCATCTTACCCCCAGCCTTCCTTGCTCTCCTCCTTCTCGTTGTTGTGAACCACCTTTCCCAATCTCCTTTCCTGATTCCTCCTGCAGCTGCCCCCAGGGATTCGCTTTTGCAATTCAGCAGCAGCAGCAGCAGCATCGCCCACAAAGGATAAAGGCAAGGGCAAGAGCGTTGCTGCGGAAGATGCTGACACTGATGCTGCTGCGGCTAGAGCCAGAGCGAAAGGCAAGGGCAAAGCTGTTGTTACCGATGATGCTGACACTGATGCTGCTGCTGCAGAGGCTGCTGCGGCTAGAGCCAGGGCGAAAGGGAAGGGCAAAGCCGTGGAGGAAACGGAAGATTCCCAAGCCAATGCACGCAACGGAAAGCAGCTAGAAGCTTCCTCTGAGAAGCAGCAGCAGAGGCAGGAGGGAGAGCAGGGGAGGGAGGCGAGCAGCAAGGCGGGAGTGCTGCAGACGTTGGATATCTTTGCGGGGTGTGGCGGGCTGTCGGAGGGGCTGCACCGGTCGGGGGTGTGTGAGACCAAGTGGGCCATAGAGTACGAGCACCCCGCTGCCGAGGCGTTTGGGAAGAACCACCCTGAAGCTGCTGTCATCTGCAACAACTGCAACGTCGTGCTTAGGTAAGTGTGGTTGCACGGTGCTTATGAGCGTGAGGGTGGGAAAGCGAAGCTCAGCTTATGCTGGTGGGTGGGTGTACCACAGACATGTGGGGTGTGGGGACCCGCGTATGCTTGACTGGGATATACTAGTGAAGGGTGAGAGGCCAAATGGGCCATTGATTACGAGCGCCCCGCAGCTGATGCGTTTGGGAAGAACCACCCTGAAGCTGCTGTCATCTGCAGCAACTGTAACGTCGTGCTTAGGTAAGCGGGGCCACAGTGCTTAGATTAGCGTGGTTATATGGTGCTTAGTGAAGTGCTGGCAGGTGTCGGTCGCCAACTACCATCCTTTTTTCTGTAAAGTTACATGAATGGGGAGATTCAAACTACCCCCCTCGCCCTCACGTGTCCCTCAGCTCAGGTGCATGGTGGGGTGGACAGGGCGGCTGAGTGACCGTGTGTCGGCACCAGAGGCGGATGCAGCAGCGGGCAGGACAGCAGAGGAGGAGAGCAGCGACATTCCTTTCCAGACGCCTCCACCCGATTGATCCCTTCGGCCTCTGTTCCCTCCAGGTGCATGATGGAGCAGGCAGGGCAGCTGAAGGACTGTGTGTCGACGCCAGAGGCGAATGAGGCAGCCTCGAAAATGGCCGAGGGGGAGAGGGGCAAACTGCCTTTGCCCGGCCAAGTGGACTTCGTGAATGGGGGCCCGCCCTGCCAGGTATTATAATAGACAAGGAGGCGCTATCACCTGTTTGGGTATGGTTGGAAGCTTGGGGGATGGCAGAGGCGGAGAGGAGCAAGCTGCCTCTGCTCGGCCTGGTGGACTTCGTGAACGGGGGCCCGCCCTGCCAGGCATGCCAGGATTGTGTTGGGAGAAGGTTGCTTGGCTTGTGAGATGGGAGGGGAGAAGAAGACAGGCAAACTGTTGCTACATGGCCAAGTGGACTTTGTTAACGGGCGCCCTCCCTGCCAGGTAAATTGCGGCTTTAGAAGGCACCCTGTTAAGTGAGGGGGGTTTCAGAAGGTGCCCTGTCAGGTGAGGGTTTTAGACGTTCTGTCAGATGAGCGCAATGCATGAGGCGGAGGGGCTGTCAGACGCGATGACTTTTGAAAGGGGAGCTTTTAGTCGACTCAAAAGTCACCTCTCAGCAGATTGTCCAACGGACCCTGTGTCACTTGGGAGCTGGATTTGGCCCTTGGAGCAGTTTTTGGGTCTACGGGTAAAGGGAGTCTTGACTCGGAGCTGATGGGCTTCTATCCTCAATATATGCTCTTTCACATCCGCTCTCACATCCGCTCTCACATCCGCTCCCACATCCGCTCTCCGTGCCCCCTCCCTCCCCCCTTTTCCCCCTCTGTCAGGGGTTTCTCCGGGATGAACGAACCGCTTCAACCAGAACCCGTTATGGGGCCAAGGCGCAGGGCGAGAGGATCCCGCTCTCATCACTCCCTTATCTCTTCCATGTCCTCTATCTTCCTGTTTCCTCTCCCCCTCGCAATCTCTCAGGGGTTTTCCAGCATAGATCGCTTCAACCTTACCCCGTGGAGCAACGTGCATTGCGAGCTGACCCCCCCCTCCCGCTTACCCCCTATCCGTTCTCCTTGTCTCTTCAACCGCTTTCTCCTAACCCCTGTCAGGGCTTCTCGGGCATGAATCGCTTCAACCAGAACCCATGGAGCAAGGTGCAGTGCGAGATGATCCTCGCCTTCCTCTCCTTCGCTGATTTCCTCCGCCCGTCCTTCTTCCTCCTCGAAAACGTCCGCAACTTCGTCTCTTTCAATGGCGCCCGCACCTTCCGGCTGGCTCTGAGAACTCTCCTGGCCATGGGCTACCAGGTAGGCCAAGACGAGCTGCCAGGTAGGTTGGATGAGTGTTAAGGGCTGCCATCACACCTCTCACCTTCCCCGCCCCTCCTTCCTCCTTGAAAACGTGCTCAACTTTGCCTCCTTGAACGACGCCCGCAACTTCCGGCTGGCTCGAAGGACGCTGCTCGCTGTGGGCTACCAGCAGCAGCGACCAAATAAGCAGCATGAGCTGCCACGTGGGCGGCTATCTGCAACCACGTGGGATGGCTATCTGTAGCCACGTGGGGTGGCTATATGCAGCCAGGTGGGCGGTTACCTGCAGCCGGGCAGGTTTGCCACCAGCTGGGCGGTTACCTGACGCCGGGTGGGTGTGCCGCTGAGGCATGTGCTACCAGTTGGTACCCTCTCACTTCATGCAGACCCTTCCCACCCTCCCCGCGTCTCTTCACTCTCCTCATTCTCCTCCCAACGCATCTCCTCACCACCCCTCTCCTGCCCATTCTCCCCAAGAGATGACCTTTGGATTGACTCAAAGGTCACCGCTTTCAGTTTCCTTCTCCTCCCAATCCATCTTCTCAACACCACTCTCTCTCCTACCCGCTTTCCTTCTCCCACCCCCTCCAGGTCCGCTTTGGGGTCCTCCAAGCCGGCAACTTCGGCATATCCCAGCTCCGCACGCGGGCTTTCATCTGGCCGGCAGCGCCTGGCCACATCCTCCTCTCCGCGTCCTGCTCTCGTTCTTAATCGACTCGAAAGCATGCTCTCTTGACCAGTCCCCCCCCCCCCCCCCTTCCCCCTTTCATCTGCGCCCCTTCATTCATATTCACCCCTCCCAGGTCCGCTTCGGTGTGCTCCAGGCAGGCAACTTCGGCATATCCCAGTCGCGCACACGAGCATTCATCTGGGCGGCAGCACCCGGCCAGATCCTCCCCGAGTGGCCACAGCCACTGCACGTCTTCGCCTCCTCGCAGCTCTCCGTTCCCCTGGGGGGCTCTTCTGGTTCCTCTGCATCTGGTTCCAATGTCGCCCACTTCAGCACTGCGGCTAGCCTGGCCAATGAGGCGTGTCCACGTGGCCCCGCGGTGGGGGCGCCGCTGCGTTCGATCACAGTGCGGGATGCGATGGGGGAGCTGCCGAGCATTGAGAACGGGGCGGAGGAGGAGGAGATGGAGGTGCGTCTTGGTTTGTGACGCTTATTGGAGTTTAGGGGTGAGGAAGAGCCATCACATTGCGGAACACGCAAGAACGAGCAAGCGCAAGCACAAGCAAGCTCAAGCGCAAGCGCACAGAACGAGCAAGCGCAAGAACGAGCTTTAACCACACCCTCCGTCCCTTAGCTCCCTACATTACTCCTCTGAGCTCTCCTCGTGGCTCCAGTGCAGCATCACATCACAGCAAGCCAGACTCCTGGTCCACACGTGCAAGCGCACAGACCGCACGTGCAAGCGCACAGACCGCACGTGCAAGCGCACAGACCGCACGTGCAAGCGCACAGACCGCACGTGCAAGCGCACAGACCGCACGTGCAAGCGCACAGACCGCACGTGCAAGCGCACAGACCGCACGTGCAAGCGCACGGACCGCATGTGCAAGCGCACAGACCGCACGTGCAAGCGCACAGACCGCACGTGCAAGCGCACGGACCGCACGTGCAAGCGCACGGACCGCACGTGCAAGCGCACAGACCGCATGTGCAAGCGCACAGACCGCATGTGCAAGCGCTCAGACCGCATGTGCAAGCGCACAGACCGCATGTGCAAGCGCACAGACCGCATGTGCAAGCGCACAGACCGCACGTGCAAGCGCACGGACCGCATGTGCAAGCGCACAGACCGCACGTGCAAGCGCACGGACCGCATGTGCAAGCGCACGGACCGCACGTGCAAGCGCACGGACCGCACGTGCAAGCGCACGGACCGCACGTGCAAGCGCACAGACCGCATGTGCAAGCGCACAGACCGCATGTGCAAGCGCTCAGACCGCATGTGCAAGCGCACAGACCGCATGTGCAAGCGCACAGACCGCATGTGCAAGCGCACAGACCGCACGTGCAAGCGCACGGACCGCATGTGCAAGCGCACAGACCGCACGTGCAAGCGCACGGACCGCATGTGCAAGCGCACGGACCGCACGTGCAAGCGCACGGACCGCACGTGCAAGCGCACGGACCGCACGTGCAAGCGCACAGACCGCATGTGCAAGCGCACAGACCGCATGTGCAAGCGCTCAGACCGCATGTGCAAGCGCACAGACCGCATGTGCAAGCGCACAGACCGCATGTGCAAGCGCACAGACCGCACGTGCAAGCGCACGGACCGCATGTGCAAGCGCACAGACCGCACGTGCAAGCGCACGGACCGCATGTGCAAGCGCACGGACCGCACGTGCAAGCGCACGGACCGCACGTGCAAGCGCACGGACCGCACGTGCAAGCGCACGGACCGCACGTGCAAGCGCACGGACCGCACGTGCAAGAGCGCATGAAGCTCAGCTGCTGGGCCACACATGGGCACGTGCACGAGCGCAGCCTCAAGCGCTGCCAGCACACTCTCTTCCCTGCCCCCTTTTTTCCTGCATTACTCCTCGGAGCCCTCTTCCTGATGTAATCCGTGTGTAATGAGTCGATTTTTTAGTCCACTCAAAAATCCGTGTGTAATGAGTCGATTTTTTAGTCGACTCAAAAATCGACTCATTACACACCCTGCCCCCTTTTTTCCTGCAATACTCCTCGGAGCCCTCTTCCTGATTCCAGCGGTGCATCAGGGCGTTCAACAAGCTCCTGGACCACACGTGCAAGAGGATGAACGAGCTCGCCTCAAGTGCTGCCAGCACACTCCCTTCCCCGGCCCCCCTATTCCTGCAGTACTCCTCGGAGCCCTCTTCCTGGTTCCAGCGGTGCATCAGAGCGCAGCAAGCCAAGCTGCTGGACCACACGTGCAAGAGGATGAACGAGCTCAACCTCAAGCGCTGCCAGCACATCCCCAGGCGGCCAGGGGCGGACTGGCGAGACCTGCCGGATATCAAGGTGGGAGATGCTATGCTGTGATGGAGAAATCTATGGCTTCGTGCATGCATGTCGCATGTGTTCTCTCCTCCTGCAGCCCCTCTTTTCGGACTCCTTCTGGGGGCCCCCTTTTCCCCTCACTGGAGCCTGCTGAAGCTTGTGCCTACCTTTCCCCATGCAATATTCCGCATGATAACCTCTTCTGGCAACATGCGCCCTCCTTGGCACTTGAGCCCCCTTTCCCCGCTCCTTGCTGGCACCCTTGTCCCTGTCCCTTCCTCCCTGCCAGTAGCACTCAGGTGGGCCTGTGTGGATGACGGCAGGGAAGCGGACTTAATCCCCAGGTACCTGCCCAACACCATGCAGCGCCACACCAACTGGAACGGGCTCTTTGAGCAGTATGTCTCAGGCGGCTCAATGCTTCCTTCCCCCTTGTCCCTCATCTTGAAACCTACTCAGGTGCGCCTGTCAGATGGCAGGGAGGCGGACCTGGTGCCGTGGTGCCTGCCCAACACCATGCAGCGCCACAACAACTGGAAGGGGCTCTTTGGACGTCTGGACTGGGCGGGCAACTTCCCCACGTCTGTGACGGACCCGCAGCCCATGGGGAAAGTGGGCATGTGCTTCCACCCGGAGCAGGACCGCATTGTCAGCGTGCGAGAGTGCGCGAGATCTCAGGTAAGGGGGGTGCGAGCTGGGTTGGGTGTGGGTGCGAGTGTAACCAGATGGCTGGAGTGTGTGGGAAATGTATGTGTCAGGCCCGCAGCCCATGGAGATTGTGGGCATGTGCTTTCATCCGGAGATCGTATCGTCAACGTCAAAGAGTGCACACGATCGCAGGCAGCGGAGGGGTTGGATGTGGGTGTGGGTGTGGATGTGGGTGTGGGTGTCAATGTGGGTGCACTAGAGCTCAGGTGAGAGGGCAACTTCCCCACGTTGGTTACAGATTGCTAGCCTTTGAAAGAAGTGGGGGTGCTCTTCCACCTGGGAGCAGGACACGATTGTTGTCCGCATGAGGGAGTGTGCGAGATCGCAAGAACAATGGAGCGTGGAGGGGGGTGGTGGGAAGGGGGTTTTAAGGGGAACGGAGAGCAACGCTTATGTTTGGTTTCATCTGTGCCTGTTTGTGAAGGATTGGCTACCTTCTCACTATCATCTGCGCTTCCACACTCCACATCACCAGCTCATTTCGTAACATCCTTTCTCCCCAATGTGCTTGTTCTCCAATCAGGGCTTCCCCGACGGCTACCGCTTCGCAGGCAACATTCAGGCGAAGCACCGCCAGATCGGCAACGCCGTGCCGCCCCCTCTGGCCCTGGCTCTGGGCCTGCAGCTCAAGAAAGCTCTGATGGAGAAGAGGAAGATGGAGGGAGCACAGGAAGAGGGAGAAAGAAAGTGCAATGAAGCAGAATGATTGAAAGCGAAGGTCGAGGAAATGTGTTGAGCTTGGAAGTGCCTTTAATTCTTACGAAAATTTATCAGTCTCGTTTTTTAACTTGAAGATAGATATGTACATGAATTGCTAATCTACTGGATATGGTTCGGGTGTTGAACTTGCTATCTTATTCACACTACCGAACAAAACCTCCAAACGAAACTATTGTGCCGTTTCGTCGTCACCTCACCTCCCTGGCCTCCGCTTCTTCCACCCCCGCAACCCCGCCACCTCTCTCCACTCCACCCCACTCCACCAACCATCCTCCAACCCTTCGCTCCCAGCAACCGCCACCGCTTTGCCCGCTCGCCTTCCCGACCCGATCTCCCAGCCGCTGCCGCCTTTCCGCCTTCCCGCGATTTCCGCCTTCCCGCGATTTCCGCCGTCCCGCGATTTCCGCCGTCCCACGATTTCCACCTTCCCGGACGCCCACCCCCACAACCTCGCTCGGCGCTTCACGCTTCGCGCTCGGCTCGTCCGTTCGCTCTTGATCCAGCAGCGCACGTGAGTAGCCGCGCACGTGAGTAGTCGTTGTGGCTCTCTGAGTCGGTCGGCTTGAAGTCGCGCGTACCTAGTTGGCAGCCTACACATTCTGAGTCGTGTCGAATGTCGCACATGTCTCCCTTAGCGAGTAACCTTCGCATTCGCGACGTTCGCACCACATATGTCGCATGCTGTCGTTCAGATTCCGCGAGTCAACGACTGGTTCACCGAAGGCCCCGCCAATCGACTCCCCGTTCGTTCTCCGATCTCGTTTCCCTCTCGTTTCCACTCGTTTCCACTCGTTTAGCATTCTCCCTGTGATGCACAAGTGTTCGTCATTCCCTCGACTTGCTGCACTTGGCGACCTTAACCGCTAACTCTCGCTCGCTCCGTGATGGACGCAGATCCAATGTCTAACCCTCTATCCCATCTCTTGCCGCTGAAAATCTCAGGCTTCTTTCCCTCACCTCGTCCCCTCTCTCTGTCACACTTTTCGCCTCCTTTTCTCGCCCGTTCTGCTCTTATCCTAAGTACTGCTGCTTATCCCCTCCGCCACCTCTCCACCCCCCGCTCCCTCCTCTCCTGCACTTCTCTCCAGCCCAACCCTGTCGTCGTCCAAAGCATCAACGACTCTCCCATGGGGCACGCACTCATCCAAGAGGCCAGGCAGTGGCGGCTCAAAGTGTTCTCACTCTCCCTCCCTCCATCCCTCCCTCCCTCCCGCCCTCCCTCCCTCCCTCCCTCCCTCCCTCCCTCCCTCCCTCCCTCCCTCCCTCCCTCCCTCCCTCCCTCCCTCCCTCCCTCCCTCCCTCCCTCCCTCCCTCCCTCCCTCCCTCCCTCCCTCCCTCCCTCCCTCCCTCCCTCCCTCCCTCCCTCCCTCCCTCCATCCCTCCCTCCCTCCCTCCATCCCTCCCTCCCTCCCTCCCTCCCTCCCCTCCCTCCCTCCCTCCCTCCCTCCCTCCCCCCCCCCTCCCTCCCTCTCTCCCTCCATCCCTCCCTCCCTCCCTCCCTCCCTCCCTCCCTCCCTCCCTCCCTCCTCCCTCCCTCCCTCCCTCCCTCCCCCCTCCCTCCCTCCCTCTCTCCCTCCCTCCCTCCCTCCCTCCCTCCCTCCCTCCCTCCCTCCCTCCCTCCCTCCCTCCCTCCCTCCCCCCTCCCTCCCTCCCTCCCCCCTCCCTCCCTCCCTCCCTCCCTCCCTCCCTCCCTCCTCCCTCCCTCCCTCCCTCCCTCCCTCCCTCCCTCCCTCCCTCCCTCCCTCCCTCCCTCCCTCCCTCCCTCCCTCCCTCCCTCCTCCCTCCCTCCCCTCCCTCCCTCCCTCCCTCCCTCCCTCCCCCCCCCCTCCCTCCCTCTCTCCCTCCATCCCTCCCTCCCTCCCTCCCTCCCTCCCTCCCTCCCTCCCTCCCTCCCTCCCTCCCTCCCTCCCTCCCTCCCTCCCTCCCTCCCTCCCTCCCTCCCTCCCTCCCTCCCTCCCTCCCTCCCTCTCTCCCTCCCTCCCTCCCTCCCTCCCTCCCTCCCTCCCTCCCTCCCTCCCTCCCTCCCTCCCTCCCTCCCCTCCCTCCCTCCCCCCTCCCTCCCTCCCTCCCTCCCTCCCTCCCTCCCTCCCTCCCTCCCTCCCTCCCTCCCTCCCTCCCTCCCCCCCCTCCTCCCTCCTCCTCCTCCTCCCTCCCTCCCTCCCTCCCTCCCTCCCTCCCTCCCTCCCTCCCTCCCTCCTCCCTCCCTCCCTCCCTCCCTCCCTCCCTCCCTCCCCTCCCTCCCTCCCTCCCTCCCTCCCTCCCTCCCTCCCTCCCTCCCTCCCTCCCTCCCTCCCTCCCTCCCTCCCTCCCTCCCTCCCTCCTCCCTCCCTCCCTCCCTCCCTCCCTCCCCTCCCTCCCTCCCTCCCTCCCTCCCTCCCTCCCTCCCTCCCTCCCTCCTCCCTCCCTCCCTCCCTCCCTCCCTCCCTCCCTCCCTCCCTCCCCCTCCCTCCCTCCCTCCCTCCCTCCCTCCCTCCCTCCCCCTCCCTCCCTCCCTCCCTCCCTCCCTCCCTCCCTCCCTCCCTCCCTCCCTCCCTCCTCCCTCCCTCCCTCCCTCCCTCCCTCCCTCCCTCCTCCCTCCCTCCCTCCCTCCCTCCCTCCCTCCCTCCCTCCCTCCCTCCCTCCCTCCCTCCCTCCCCCTCCCTCCCTCCCTCCCTCCCTCCCTCCCTCCCTCCCTCCCTCCCTCCCTCCCTCCCTCCCTCCCTCCCTCCCTCCCTCCCCTCCCTCCCTCCCTCCCTCCCTCCCTCCCTCCCTCCCTCCCTCCCTCCCTCCCTCCCTCCCTCCCTCCCTCCCTCCCTCCCTCCTCCCTCCCTCCCTCCCTCCCTCCCTCCTCCCTCCCTCCCTCCCTCCCTCCCTCCCTCCCTCCCTCCCTCCCTCCCTCCTCCCTCCCTCCCTCCCTCCCTCCCTCCCTCCCTCCCCTCCCTCCCTCCCTCCCTCCCTCCCTCCCTCCCTCCTCCCTCCCTCCCTCCCTCCCTCCCTCCCTCCCTCCCTCCCTCCCTCCCTCCCTCCCTCCCTCCCTCCCTCCCTCCCTCCCTCCCTCCCTCCCTCCCTCCCTCCCTCCCTCCCTCCCTCCCTCCCCTCCCTCCCTCCTCCCTCCCTCCCTCCCTCCCTCCCTCCCTCCCCTCCCTCCCTCCCTCCCTCCCTCCCTCCCCTCCCTCCCTCCCTCCCTCCCTCCCTCCCTCCCTCCCTCCCTCCCTCCCTCCCCCTCCCTCCCTCCCCCCTCCCTCCTCCCTCCCTCCCTCCCTCCCTCCCTCCCTCCCTCCCTCCCTCCCTCCCTCCCTCCCTCCTCCCCTCCCTCCCTCCCTCCCCCCCCCCCCCCCCCTCCCTCCCCTCCTCCCCCTCCCTCCCTCCCTCCCTCCCTCCCTCCCTCCCTCCCTCCCTCCCTCCCTCCCTCCCTCCCTCCCCTCCCTCCCTCCCTCCCCCTCCCTCCCTCCTCCCTCCCTCCCTCCCTCCCTCCCTCCCTCCCTCCCTCCTCCCTCCCTCCCTCCCCTCCCTCCCTCCCTCCCTCCCTCCCTCCCTCCCTCCTCCCTCCCTCCCTCCCTCCCTCCCTCCCTCCCTCCCTCCTCCCTCCCTCCCTCCCTCCCTCCCTCCCTCCCTCCCTCCCTCCCTCCCTCCTCCCTCCCTCCCTCCCTCCCTCCCTCCCTCCCTCCCTCCCTCCCTCCCTCCCCTCCCTCCCTCCCTCCCTCCCCTCCCTCCCTCCCTCCCTCCCTCCCTCCCCTCCCCCTCCCTCCCCCCCTCCCTCCCTCCCCCCCCCTCCCTCCCTCCCTCCCTCCCTCCCTCCCTCCCTCCCTCCCTCCCTCCCTCCCTCCCTCCCTCCCTCCCTCCCTCCCTCCCTCCCTCCCTCCCTCCCCCCTCCCTCCCTCCCTCCCTCCCTCCCTCCCTCCCTCCCTCCCTCCCTCCCTCCCTCCCTCCTCCCTCCCTCCCTCCCTCCCCTCCCTCCCTCCCTCCCCTCCCTCCCTCCCTCCCCTCCCTCCCTCCCTCCCTCCCTCCCTCCCTCCCTCCCCTCCCTCCCTCCCCTCCCTCCCTCTCCTCCCTCCCTCCCTCCCTCCCTCCCCTCCCTCCCTCCCTCCCTCCCTCCCTCCCTCCCTCCCTCCCTCCCTCCCTCCCTCCCTCCCTCCCTCCCTCCCCTCCCTCCCTCCCTCCCTCCCTCCCTCCCTCCCTCCCTCCCTCCCTCCCTCCCCTCCCTCCCTCCTCCCTCCCTCCCTCCCTCCCTCCCCTCCCTCCCTCCCTCCCTCCCTCCCTCCCTCCATCCCTCCCTCCCTCCCTCCCTCCCTCCCTCCCTCCCTCCCTCCCTCCCTCCCTCCCTCCCTCCCCTCCCTCCCTCCCTCCCTCCCTCCCTCCCCCCCCCCTCCCCTCCCTCTCTCCCTCCATCCCTCCCTCCCTCCCTCCCTCCCTCCCTCCCTCCCTCCCTCCCTCCCTCCCTCCCTCCCTCCCTCCCTCCCTCCCTCCCTCCCTCCCTCCCTCCCCTCCCTCCCTCCCTCCCTCCCTCCCCCTCCTTCTCCCCCCCCCCCCCCCAACATCTCCCCTCCCCTCCCCTCGTCGCCCCCCTACCATCACGTGTAGCAGTGACCCTTTGCCAAGCCCTCGGGTCCTCCCCACTCTCCTCCTCCTCCCCATTCTCCACCCCCCTCCGCCTCCTCTCCTCCGCCCACTCCCTCCTCGCGTCAACGTGCCTCGCACGCGGCTCTGTCGTCATGCAGCAATGCCCACTCCCCAACCGGCCAGGCGCCCATCCAAGAGGCCACGCAGCGGAGCCTCAATAATGTTGCTCACTCTCCCTCTCTCCCTCCCCACCCCACCCGTCGTGCCCCTTTTCCTCCCCTACAGCCATGGCCCTCCGCCAAATCCTCCGTTCCTCCCCACTCCCCTCCCCCTCCACCTTCTCCACCCCCCTCCGCCTTCTCTCCACCGCCCACTCCCTCCTCGCCTCCACCCCCCTCGCACCCGGCTCAGTCGTCGTCCAAAGCAACGCTGACTCGCCAACGGGCCAAGCACTCATCCAAGAGGCGAAGCAGCGCGGGCTGAAGACCATCAACATCATCCCCGACCAAGCCGGCAGCGGCGAGACCATCGAGCGGCTGAAGCGCCTGGGAGGGGACGTAGTGGTCACGGAGTCCTACTGCAAGACGTGGTTCCTCCCCCGGGTGGTTTCTGACCTCCCGAAGCCGGCGCTGGGGGTGACGGCGACTGAGGGTGCCGCGGCCACGGCTGTGGCTAAGCTGGTAGCGCCTGGGGGAACGTTGGTGGCGTATGGAGGGGTGAAGCTGAGTGGGAAGGTTGTGTATGGAGGGGCGGAGAGGCGGCCCGTGGCATGGGGGGATTACTTGAAGGGGAGGAAGCTTGCGCTCAAGAGTGTTTGATGCGTTTATGGGACGGGTGAGGCCTAGACTACAGGAGATGAGCAGGTGTTACTTGGCTTGGCTAGATTGGCTCGGCTTGGATTGGAACCTATGGAGCATGGACTGGATGTGGAACAGCAGAGGTAAATAATTTGAGAACGAGGACATACGGGTTGTTGCTCCACCGGTAGTTTTTTAGTAGACTCATGTTGCCCTAGTGATACTCGCCACAGGGGGGGCTGTGCACGAAGCCAGTCTGAGAGTAGAATTGTTGAGTAGAATGAGATACAGGGTGGTTTTCCCGAAGGGGTTGTACTCTCTATAAGACTGCACCTATTTAGCCTAAAGCATATACACAATATATGTTGACAGCCAGTAGAGTCTAGGGAGTGGCAATTCAGAAAGGATGCTGTTTGCCAGGTGAAACCATGCAATCAAAATACACCATGATGATTTCTCGGCTTGAGCTCAAGTACTGGAGTGCCATACTTGATACCCTCTTCACCAGCCTGTTGATCTCACATGACATGAGTCACTCACTGCCATGAATGGGCGGTCATGGACGTTTGGCAACGAGTGAAAGCCCAGGCGCCATGTTTCAGGCGCCTCAAGAGGCATTCATGGCCTGTCTACTCCACTCTCTTATCACTGCCTCTGTCCGTAGCACTGGTGACGGGTGTTGACTTGAAAGGAAAACTGCGCGGCACATGCTGTAACAACACACACCTACTGCAGGCACCAGAATGCCAACTGCGTGACACCTCCCCCCCTTCGGCTCACCCTTGCACCAGCACAGCAGCCTTCCAGCTTTGCCCTACCATCCTGCACTTGCATCTGTGACACCTCCCTACGCCTCTACAAAGCTTTATGCCTCTGTGAATCGCCTCCTCTCGTCCTCAGGAATAATTGACCAATTAGGAGAGGGCACTGCTCGCAGCCAACCAAAATCATCCACGTGGGCCCACGACCCCCCGTCCACCACCAGGTCAGCAGCTTCTAATTCCCCCTCCAGCCCCTCATACTCCCGACTATAAGGCGCGAATCTGACACCAGTAGAGTGCTCTATAAGAGGCCTGCTTCGCGTGCGGACGTAGAAATCGGCGCGCTCTGTTTGGTGGATCCTTAATTGATGACACGCGACGGCTACAGTGCTGCCTGTTGCATGCTCCACGTGGCAAGCTCCAGAGACCGGGCCGACGATGACGTGGCAGTCGCGCACGTGGCGTAGGAAGAGCGCGGAGGCGACACCTCTGACGGTGACGTGGCAGTGGGAGAGGTGCTGCAGCGTGAGCTCGCCGCCTCTGTGCTGCAGCGTGAGCTCGCCGCCGCTGTGCTGCTCTGGTGAGATGCAGATGCGCTCGTTGGCGCGGTGGGAGATGGAGAGTGACGGACGGGTGGAGCTGATAGGTTCGTCAGCTGCTCCGCCTGACGCTGCTCCGCCTGACGCTGCTCCCGATGCTGCACCTGCCGCTGCTACGTGCGCACGGCCAGAGGACATTCGCACCGTCCCTAAAATCGTCGGATTGATCTCTTGCTCGATCGGGGATTTATCAACTGCCTGCAGCGATGGCGCCGGTTGCTCGGAGAGTAGATTCTGCGGAGGAGGAGCATCTATGTCCAAAATGATGTCTTTATTTTCCAGAGAGATCTTCTTCGGCCCTCGCGACGAGAACGCGAACCGCTTTTTGGGCTTCGACGCGGATCGCGCTGACTCTAGGCTGGCGCGAAGCGCGGCGACGCGGGACGTCATCTGCTCCACGTCACGCCGCGGGACCGACGGCGCGAAATGCGTTACCAGCTCCTCGACGGCTCGCAGCGCCGACACCGCCGCTTGATCCGCGTCCAATCCGGACCGTTGATTGCTTCCCGCGTCGCCAATCTGTTGTTTACTACTTTCCCCGCCATTGGTCCCCGGCAGTGCAGATCCGGGAGCGGAATCGGAGTTTCTGGAGGTCAAAGCTTGGATCGCCGCTTCAAGCGCGTCGCATTTCTCTCGGAACGCTAGGAAGACGGACAGCTGGCCCTGCTCCTCGTCCATGACGTCACGCATGGCTGACGTGCGCGTGGATGACGTGCCTGAGCGATTTCTGGGAATGACGTGGGCAGGTAAAGGGCAGAAGGAGTGAGAAGAAAGAAACGAGGACTAAGCCGAGATACGAGGAATGTGTGAGGAGGCGCACAGGAATCTGGTGTGTGGAACCTCCAGTTTCGCTTCTGCGAGAACTGGAACTCGGACCGGTCTTGGCGACGATAATTCCCCGTGCGATTCACAAGATCACCGCGTCGACGGGTGTAACCAGACCGGAAACCGGAGTTTCGCCTGAAATCTGGTTCGGTGTGCCGAAGCGAGACAAAGTGATGCCCTTCGAGAATCTCTACTGGGGTATCAATATCTCTATAAGAGAGCTATCACCTCCGCTAACTCAAGGCCGCCATTGTTATGAATAATAACTCACAGTGCGCGGAATCATAATGACGAGTACAAGAATGGGAGCCTAGCATTAAATAGTGAGAATTCTAGCTAGGCGACGAGCCCGGAGGGCTAGGTTGGGCACAGGTGTCAAACATATACTTGTATGTTGATATAGATTACACAGGGTTGTGCCGTAGAGAGTACAACCCACTAGGTTATATTCCCTTGTATGCCATGATTCTAGTCATTTCGTTAACTTTGATATGGTATCATGAGTAGGTTAGGTCCCCCCCGACCACCAGCGCTTCCGCCATAGGTCCTAACCGCCCGTGCTTGCCCGTCCCCTAGGGGTCCCCGTCACCTAGCGCCTAGTTGCCCCCGTTGCCTAGCCGGCCCCGTCGCCCAGCCAGCCCCGTCGCCCAGCCGGCCCCGTCGCCTAGCCGGCCCCGTTGCCTAGCCGGCCCTGTCGCCTAGCTGACCCCGTCGCCCACCCGGCCCTGTAGCCTAGCCGGCCCCGTCGCCTAGCCGGCTCCGTCGCCTAGTCGGCCCCGTCACTCAGTTGGCCCCGTCGCTTGGCCGGCCCCGTCGCCTAGCCGGCCCCGTAGCCTAGCCGGTCCCGTCGCCCACCTGGCCCCGTCGCCTAGCCGGCCCCGTCGCCTAGCTGGCCCCGTCGCCTAGTCGACCTCGTCGCCCAGCCGGCCCTGTTGCCTAGCCGGCCCCGTCGACAAGCCGGCCCCGTCGCCTAGCTGGCCAGGTCGCCTAGCCAGCCCCGTCGCCTAGCCGGCCCCGTCGCCTAGCCGGCCCCGTCGCCTAGCCAGCCCCTTAGCCTAGCTGGCCCTGCTGCCTAGCCGGCCCCGTCACCTCGCCGCCAGCCGGTCCCGTCGCCTCGCCGCCCGCGGCCCAGTCTCCTAGCCGCCACGCGGCCCCCTGTTGACCAGCCGCCCCGCGGCCTCGCCGCCCAGCCTCCTCGCGGCCCCATCCCTCAGCTGCCCCTGCGGCCCCCCAACTTGCGTCATCGGCCCTCTCCACCGCACTGCACTGCCCTGCACCACACTGCACCGCACCCTACCATACTGCACCTCACTCTACCGCACTGCACCACATCGCGTCGCACACCACTGCTTCCCATCGCACTCTGTCGCTCAGTACAGAGCCACTACCGCCTTTCTGCTGCTGCAGCGACTGTGATGGCGGACTGGGTCCTGCGCTTTGACGCGGAGGGTTAGCCGGTTGAGTTCGACACGTGGCTCGTCGACCTCCGCCGTCACCTCACTGGTCAGCGGCAGGACAGCCACTCCCTAGCCGTCCACATCGACGATATGCTCCCCTGCCCTGACCCCTCTGCTGCTCCACCCGCTGACCCCACGTCTGCTGACCGTGAGTCCGCTGCCGCTGCTGCCCTTGCCCGTGCTGTCTGGTTGTCACGTGACGCTATCGCACAGCTCGCGAAAACTCATGCCCTCCCTCTGTCTGAGCGCCCTCGCTTTAGGTCGGTCAGGACTGCGCTAGAGTTCCTAGAGGGTGTTGTCGCGCGCTATTCCACCCCGCCCTCTGCCTCCGTCGATCGCCTGATCATGGCCGACCACTTGCGCACGCTAGACACGACCTGGCGTGCTGCCTGCACTGAGGCCCAGCTTCAAGTATTTCAGCGCCCCATCTGCTCTACCCTCTACCTGCTTGCCACCCGCCTCCCTGACCGCCTTGCTACCGCTCGCGATCACTTTCTTAGTCTCCACCCCGCTGACCTCACCCTCTTTGACTTTGTCGACACCCTGTCTGCCATAGAGACTCGTCAGCGCTCTATTGCCCAGTCTAGCGGTACTGTCCCGGTCACTATCTTTCAGGGTTGTGCCCCCGCTCAGTGCACTTACTCTGACGGTTCTGCTGCTGTCGCTGAGACAGCAACTGTTGCGGAGCTTGTCGCTGTGGCTGCAGCAGTGCAGTTTTGCCCGGGTAAGGGTCGCCGCCCCAAGGCTGGGCGTGGCGGAGGTAGCGGAGGAGGGGGTGGAGGCGGTGGTGGAGGTGGTTCGCCCACTGGTAGTACTGACGAGGGGACTGGGACTGGTGCCTTGGAGCAGCAGCCCCAACAGCAGCAGAAGCAGACGCCACAGGTGGACCAGCAGCAGCAGCTGCAGCAGCAGCAACTGCAGCAGCAGTAGCGGCGGGTCCGTCTCCCGCCCGGGTGGCCTGACGCCGGTGGTGGCGGTGGCTGCAGTATTCATACACGCAGCGTGACGTCGGGTGGTGGTCCGAGTGACGGGCGCTGCCAGTACCAGCTCCTGACCGGTCCTCGCCGCGGCCTCGTGTGCGGTAAGATCGGCCATTCCCCCACTCGTTGTTTCAGTCGCCTAGACGACCTATTTCGTCTCCACTTCGGCTCGGAGCTAGACCTCCCCGACTAGCACAGTTTGCTCCGCCGTGGTGTTAGGAACTTTGATATGGGCATGGACGAGATTAGCTCTGCTTTGTATGTGCTGTATGTCGATGACTCTAGTGTGACTAGTTCCTATTACCCCTTGTTGCCTAGTGTAGGTCTGCCTAGTTCAGACTCCCCTGCTGCGTCGGGTGTAGGATCCCCTGCTTTGTTTAGCCTTGGCTCCACCCTCGCTCCTCCGACCCCTGCTGCCATTTCTGCGCTCTCCTTCACCATGGACTCCGACGCTTCCTGGTGTTTCTTTCAGGACTCCACTATGCTTACGCCGCTTGCCACTCCCAGCGCAGTTGCCCTTGAAGACCCTTCCTCAGGTCCTGTAGTTGCCCGTAGCTCCACCACCCTTCTCTGTCCGGCGGTTCCTTCGGGCTGCCTTACAGGCCTGCACATGTCCTCGTTCTCTCGGAACCTAGTTGGTGTCGGCTGCCTCCAGGACCTTGGCGTTACCACTACGTTCCCTGGTCACGAGCGGTACGCTGTCTGTACCGAGGCCGCCACTGGTGTTCCCCTCACCACGTTCCCCCGGGACCCGATGTCTGGCCTGTTCACGCTGGACACGGCGTCCCACCCGGTTGGGACGTCTCCCCAGGTGTCTGCGTCTACCCAGGTTGCTGCAGTTTGCTCGTGTCAGTCGCTTACTCACCCGACGCTTCTGTGGCACCACTGTCTAGGTTACCCTGCCCTCACCTGTCTTCGTCACATGTCTCAGCACGGTCTTGTCTTAGGTCTCCCTGAGTCGTTCCCCGCGCTACCCTCCTTCCCAGCGCCGTCGTGCACGCCCTGTATCGAGGGCCGGCTCCGCCGTGCCCCTCACTCCTCCTCGTTCCCCCCCACCCCCGCACCGCTGCAGACCCTGCACATGGACGTCTAGGGCCCCGCCCCCGTCCATGGGCCGAGTCTTGAGCGCTACTTTCTAGAGCTCGTCCACGACTACACGCGCTACACCACCGTGTTTCCCCTAGAGCGGAAGGCCGATGTGCCTGACGTTCTTTTCCCGTGGCTTGTCTCTACGCGTGTTCACCGAGGTCTCCCTGTGTTGCGTCTTCACTCTGACCGTGGCGGCGAGTTCGCCTCTGGCTCCCTTGGTCGCTTCTGTCGTGCGGAGGGCATCACCCAGAAGTTCACCCTGCCGGACTCCCCGCAGCAGAATGGGATCGCTGAGCGATGCATCGGTTTGGTCATGGAGGTGGCTCGTACCTCCATGATCCATGTCGGTGCACCCCATTTTCTGTGGACGTTCGCTGTTCGCTACGCCACTTACCAGCTTAACCTCTGGCCGCAACCTCAGCAGCCGCAGGTTTCGCCGACCCTTCTTTGGAATGGGTCCCCTGGTGACGCGTCTGCGTTCCACGTCTGGGGCTGCCTCACTCACGTTCGTGCCTTTGGCACGGACAAGCTCACTGCCTGCAGCGTCCCCTGTGTCTTCCTCGGTTTCCCCCTCGACTCGTCTGACTGGCACTTTTACCACCCGCCGTCTCACCACTTCTTTCACTCCCGCGTCATCACTTTTGATGAGTCCGTCCCCCTTTGCCACCGCTTTCCCCACCGTGGTCCCCCGGTTACCCACCCCCTCTTCCTGGTTCCCCCTCCCCCGGTTGCTCCGGTTCCCTCCCCTCCCCTCCCTGCCCTGTCTGGTGTATCTCACGTCACCTCTCTCCCATCGGGTGTCCCTGCCGAGGAGTCTACTGACTCTCTCGGCTCTGCGGAATCTCTCCCCCCGCCCCTCCCCGCCCCGGTCTCTTCTCCCTCGCTGCCGCCGTTGCTGTCAGTGCCGTAGCCGCCTCCGCCGCTGCCGTCGCCGCCGCGGCCGCAGCCGCCGTCGTCACCGCCGCTGGGGTTCGTGCGTTCTGGGGGTGCTCGGGAGCATGCTGGAGCGGGTGCTGGAGCGGGCTCCCGTTCTGGGGGTGCTGGCGTGGAGCTTCTCGGAGGGAGCCGTGCTGTCGCTGGAGGTTCTGGTGTTGGAGTCGGGCAGCAGTCGCAGCTATCACCGCCGGTGTCCGCTCTTCGCCTCCTCGGTCTTCCTTCCCCTGACCGCTTGCCGGTGCCTCCTCTGTCGCCGCTGCCTCCTCCTCCGCTGGTCTACGGCCCAGTGTTTCCTCCCCCGGACTCCTCTCCGGCTCGTGTCCCTCCCCGTTCTCCTCCTGTGTCTCCTCCCCTCCCTCCTGACCCGACTCCTCCGTCTCATATCTGGTCTCGTCGTCTGTCTTGTGCTCGCCCTACCTCCCCTGTTCGGTGGTCTCACCCTATGTTGCTTTGCTCCCACGCGTCTCGTGCTCCTCTGCTCCTCCCGTCTCCTCCT